TTAATTGCCACGCTGTGTCAGCAGGTTGAGAGGAGCATTTCCAGCCTCCTGTATGTTCCTCTAAGCAGTTACTGAAGGGCTGGCTATTTCAGCAGCTAAGAATTTATTTTATTTACTTTTCCTAAAGGAGCAAAGTTCCTGCTAACAGTGTATGTGTGTGGGGGGAGCCTTTAGTGCAACAGCATTTAATGCAAGAGGTAGACAACGGCTGAGATAACACTGATTTATTGGGAAATTCAGAACCAGTTGAAAGCTGGTTGGAGTTTAGTTCAGTTTTCAGTTAGGAAGGGTGTTACAGCTGTGGAAGGTATGCAACATGCCTGGTGAAGAAGATGTAGTGGGTAGGAGTTGCTAAATAAGACGTACATCTCCCTGTGTAGCAGAGGCTGGGGAACCCCAGAGGCAGATATAATTAATGCACAGCAATCTAAAGCAGCTTTGAGAAAATCAAGCTGTATGGAGCAACCTGCTGGATTGGATTAGGCTGCTGTAAACAATGAATTTCTAAAAATAGCAGTCAAGTGGTGATCAAAGTGTCTGGCACGTGTGAGAGAGGGTAACGCTGGCAGGAGAGCTGGAGGGGAAGGATGGTTTGGGATAAGGGACAATGCTGTCTTGAAACAGTGACACAAATTCCAGAATCTGTGGTTAGAAAGCAGTTTCAGTGCAGGCACAGCCAAGGGAGAGCTGTGTGGGTGCTCTGGTGAGCTGCTGAGGGGCATTCCCCAGATGGGGAGGCTCAGGCAGTGTCCCCTGCTCCCTGCCTGCTGTCGGGACTGGGAAGGGTGAAGGTGCCACCAAGGGGGACATCTCTGGGTGTTCCTGGTGAGAGCACCTCATGGCTCTGGGGTGGGGGATGCAGGCCGGGGTGCTCTGCTCACCCAGACAAGGAACCTGGGGAACAGGGGTGCTGCCAGCGCTGTCCTCCCTCCAGCAGGGTGCTCTGGGAGCAGAGGAAGGGCGGTGAACAGGAAAGTAATGGCATGTGTGAGAGAGACCAGGAGGGAGGGGAAGGGACCGAGTCCTTCCCTCTGCTCCTCCTCTTCCCTGCTCTTGTGCAGCCAGGCTGGCACTCAGGGCAGGAATTACTGACATACACAGTCACCAGCTCCGGGGTTGACTCCCAAATAAAGCTGAATTGCCCTTCGGAGCAGCCAGAGTCAGTAAGCTGCTCAGGTGTTAGCAGGTGAGTTGTTTTAGTTTAAAGCGGATAGAATTAACCTGTGGATTGTCTTGGGCGGTTTGAACAAGAATCTGTTGGCCATTAAGGCTGTGCAGTGGGTGTTCTTAGGAAATCCATTTTGCTGCATTTATTGAATGTTAATGTTACTTGGCAAACACCCTTTTGTGCTCTTCAGCAGCAGTAAACCAAACTATTTTTCAAGTTCTCTATGAACACGCAGAGCAGAGCGTGCAGCTGCAGAATCAAGACTCAGTAGGAGACACTCGTGTGTCCAGTTCTGTTTTTGGGCTTGTCTGGACTGCTCTCTGAAGAGCCTTTACCCTCCTGTAGAAGACCTTCTCCACAAAGGGCTTGCAGAGGAACATGTAGATCAGGGGGTCCATGCAGACATTGGTGGCTGCCAGCCACAGGGTGCTCTCTTTGGCCACGAAGAGCTGGTTCTGCAGGCGGCAGTCCATGTGGGCACTGGTTTGGCTCACAGTGTAGGGCACCCTGCTGAAGTGGAAGGGGGCAAAGCACACGAAGAACACGGTAAAAATGATGAATACTTTCCCCTTGATCCGTTTTTCGCTTCTGTTGCCTTTCTTCTGAGTTTTTACGTAAGACTCATATACCTTTTTGGCAATAATGACATAAAATAGCAGCATGAGGATGAGGACGGTCCAGAAGATGAACTGGCAGACGTAGTTGACAGCTCCGTGCCATTTGAGCCCGAGGTGACTCTTCAAGGAGGCACACTTCCTCACGGACTGCGGCGTCGCTCTCTTGTTGGACAGGACCATGTTGGGCAGGGAGAGAACGAGGAAGAAGAGCCAGACCAGAGCTGCCAGGATCTTTGCTGAGGTCAGGTTTTGCACCCAGAACTTCCCAAAAGGTCTCACAATCTTGAGAAACCTGTCGAGAGCAATGAGCCCCAGCAGCACTATGCTGATGTACATGGTGTCGTAGAATATCACGGCGGAGAAGCGACAGACAAAGGCCTTGAGCTGCCACGGTCCCAGGCCAGAGTCCGTCAGGATCTTCAGAGGAAGCATCAGGGTCATTATAAAATCAGAAACCAAGATATTTTTCAGGTAGACAATGAAGGTTGATGTGCTCGGAATGTGGAAGAAAGCCCAGCAAGCCAGGCTGTTCAGCACGAGTCCCAGGAGGAAGATGAGGGTGTAGAGCACCGGGAAGAGCAGGTGGGTGACGGTGGTGTCACGGTGGCACTGTGCAGGGGAGGGTGCCCCGCTGCTGTTACCCACAGAGCTCGTGTTTGCAGAGTCTCCCATGGCTGGAAACAGACTTGGGTGAAAAGGAGGGAGAGAACACAAAACACAGCCTTCTGTAGGTAGTATTGCATGTTCCTTACAGTGACAGCAGGTTTGCATGAATAAACACAAAACCCCAGCGTGTGTAAAACAGCCCAAACAATTCATCTTCTGGTTCATTTAGGTTCAAAAGATTTAGGTTCAAAACCTAAATCTTTGCTGAAATTTAAATTGTTTGCAAGCTAGCATCCGCTGAAGAGTTAAAAAGGTTCATACTTATTTTGGAGGCTGAGGGTGGTGTCAGCAGGGTATGAGAACAGACTGCCTGGAGCACTGTGGGCCTTTCCAGGGAAATGTATTTTAGCACTGAAATGTTAGAGCTGTGGCCCAAAAGCCAGCCATTCCTGGGTGAGTGACTTCTGGTAATTCTTTCCAAGCACCCACTCTTCTCCTTTCTCAGTACAGCTTTAGGTAGCATTTCCAAGATCAGACGCACACAGGTGGCTCCCAGCCCTGAGCCCGGCTGCCCGAGCGCCCCATGCCACCCCAACACCCTGACCCTGTGAGTACCTGGACAAACCTGCAGCAGCTGTCACAGAGCCCTCTGTGGCTGTCCCCACCTCATCCACGGCTCCTCTGCCAGCAGAAGCCTCGAGCAAAGTGCTAACAGTGGGGAAATGTAGAAAGATGAGACCTTTTTCTGTTGGTGTGTGGTTTCCTTCCTCATTTCCAGTGCTGCCTGAGTTAGTCACATTTGCTGTTGCTTTTGCCTCTTCCCTTTGCTCTGCGTGAGAAAGCACACCATCTGCTCCCAAACTAGGAAAGGAAACCTGACCCTGCCTCTCAAGACTGACACATTTCTGGGTTTGTGTGTGCGTGGGACAGACCTGCTACACCTGGGCTGGTAGGATGAACAAACACAGAGTGTTTCCTGGCAGCATCACAGGATAACCCTCAAATGTAGCTCCTAGCTGCTGTTTGTGTGTGAATTCCACGTTCTGGATGGCACCAGTCATTGCCAAAGCGTTACAAGAGTCTGCTCAGAGCCACCTGGCAGTGGTGCTCGGGGGCTGCCCCTCTCCTGCCCTGACACAGGGGCCAGGGCTTGGCTCTGGCTCTCCAGAGGGGATTCCTGGTGGGTGTTTTGGCCCATGCAGGCAGGGCATGCACCGTGCAGCTCACAGCCCCTTTCTGGTGCTGGCAGGAGCTGCTGCTGCGTGGAGAGCTGTGGACTGGTGGTGTTTGTTGGGTACAGGCTGGAACTGGGTGCATTTCTCTGAGCAGAGCTGTTTGTGTAGGTTTATTGCTGCCTGCTGCTGGGCCAGCCCTGGCTCAGGGCTCCTGCCACGGGGGCAGTGGCTCCTGTCCAAGCCATGTCCTGGCAGGTGTGGGTTGCTCCAGGAGCTGCTCAGGCTGCAGCAGTGGCAGGGAGTCTGTGCATCAGACCTGGGACGTTTTGGTTAATGTGGGTGCTGGTGTCAGTGTCAAAAGGCTGCTGAGAGCAAGGAGCCCTGAGGGTGGCTTCAGTCACCCTCGGCACTGTCACCAGTGTGATGTGTCCCTGGCCAGCAGTCCTGCCTCCTGCTCCCCACTGGTGCCCAGGTGAGGGTGTCACATCCCCTGCAATGCCCAGCACTGGTGTCCAAGGCAGTGCCTTCTGTGTTTTCTTCCCAGCTGAGCTCTAGGTGCTGTCAGAGGCAGCAGGTACCTGTGCACACCCACCCGTGGTGGCTCTGGGGACAGGTGTGTGTGGTGTCTCTTGTCTGGACAGCTCACCTGACCAGGGAAAGCAGCTCCTGGATAATTGCCACTCTCTCTCCACGTGTAGGTGCAAAATAGGTGCAGAATGAGTTCTGGGTGGGAGTGGGGCATGCGGCACTTCCCTCCCTGGGCATTACTGGGAGCTGACCTGCCCAGGGCCTGCGGGCTGCTGGGGGAGCAGGCTCTGGGGTGGCTGGGCACTGTTCCAGGGCAGTGCTGGTGCCCTGGCTGCACCCCAGGCACGCTCTGTCTCAGCTGGAGCGGGCACAGTTTGGGGCAGGGTGAATCCATCCCAGGGGCTGTAGAGATGCACAAACCCCAAGGCCGAGGGTGGCAGTAGGTGAGCAACAAGTGAGCTGCCTTTTAACTTAGGAAATTGTGTTTTGGTTGCAGAAGAGCCCTGGCAGGCAGGGACAAGTCCCAGGAAGGATGGACAGGCCGTGGCTTTGGCAGGATGAGCTCTGGTGTGGTGGGGACACCCACTGCCCAGCTGGAGCTGTTTGCAGAGGTGATAAATGAACCACAACTTATTCCAATAGCCCACAATCTATTTCATGTGCAGTTGCTGTGATACCTCAAAATGTCATGTACTTGAAAATACTTCCCTGATTTTTTTCGATTTTTCCAAGTGCTAAAAGGGAAGTGGTTGAGTATTTTGTATAGTGGAAAAAGCTGCCCTTAATTATCAGTAAAGGAGTTACCATGAGCCTGTCTTTCCCCAGGATCTCAGTATGATGTAAATCAAGTGTTTTTGTGTTTTCTGATATAAAGTTCTCTGTGAAAACATACAGTTTTGTTTATTTATGTAGTAAGGGGAAGGATTTGGGGATTTAGTAATATCAAGATAAGCCTGATTATGAAATAATTTCCTCTGAAATACAACTATTAATTATTGGTGAATGGATTAGGAACTGCAAGCATAGAATGAGATAAGCAGTGTTATTCTGTTACCAAAAATCTGCCCAAATGGCTGTCTCTAAGTTTCTGTTTTTCTGCCAGTTGCATACAAGGTGACAACCCCCTGTATTGAAAAATCACATCTACTGTGGATTTTATCTGCATTTCTCAGGTCTTGTGTTGTCGTGAACTTTACTCTGGCCCAAGTTTAGCTATTTTTGCAAAATCTTTACAGTTCATGGTGTCATCTGTAGCATTTCATGGTTCTAAGTTTTTCCTCACAGTTCCACCTTTGAGTTCAGACTTGTTCCCAGCAGTCCTGACAGGCGTTGGGGTCTGGGAGCTCCTGGTTTGGCAAGGCTGGGGGCTGGCGCCGGGGGGCTCCTCTGGTATGTAGCTCTCTATTTTTGCAGGAGTGGTGGTGGCTCCAGGGGGCTCGTGCTTCCATCTGCAGGGCTGTTTCTAGAGAAATGGGTGGAGTTCTGGGTGCTCCTGATGGATTTGTGCTCCTGCCACCCTCGGTGAGCGTCTGTGGCCAGGAAGGGGCGTGCAGCCTGAGAGCTAGAGCGGCGTCTCGTCAGTGTCATCCCCCTCGTTCTGCCCCTTCATCTGTGCCCCCAGCCCTGCCCCTGCCCTGTGCTTGCACAGCATGTCCAGCAAGGACTTCCTAAATGATTTGCAAAGGAAAAAGTATATGAAGGGATCCAGGCAGGCGTTGAGGGACGTCAGCCACAGCGTGGTCTCCTTCAGGTAGAACAGCGTGTTCCGAGCAGAGCAGTCAAACACGTCTCTCGTTTGGCTCAAGGTGTAGGGGATTCTGGTGAAGTGGAATGGCACAAAGCAAATAAAGAACACAGCGATTATTATGAAAACCTTGAAATTGACAGTCTTTTTAGATGCCTTCCCTGTGCATCGTGTCCTTTTGTAGGATTTGTACAGTTCCCTGCTGATGAGGATGTAACATACCACTATGACTGCTAGGCTCACCCAGAAGATGAGCTGACAAATGTAGTTTACAATTTCATGCCAGATTAAGCCAAACTCTGATTTCAGGAGAGCACACTTCCTCACGTTCTTGGGTGTTTTCTTCTTATTATTTAAGATCATGTTGGGTAGCGAGAGAGCAAACATTGATACCCAGATTGCTGTGGACAGGATCTTGGCAGCTAAAAGGCTGCGTGGAGTTGATGTTCTGAATGGGGAAGTGGCCTTCTGGTAACGATCAATAGTTATCAGACCAAGAAAGAGGATGCTGATGTACATGGTGAAGTAAAACACTACCTGGGTGACCTGGCACACAAACCCCCGCAACACCCAGGACACCAGCTTTGCATCACTGAGGATTTTAAATGGAAAAGTCAAGATCATGAGGAAGTCAGAGATCACAGTGTTCTTGAGGAAGATGATGAAATTGGATTTACTGGATATTTTAAAGAAGACCCACATTGCCAGGCCATTCATCGTGGTCCCCACCAGGAACAGAAATGTGTAGAGTAAGGGGAAGATGACTTGGCTGATCCTGCTGTCGCTGGTGCAGTTGCTGTCATTCCTGAAGGAGCTGAAGTGGGTTGTGGCTTTCATTTGCATTGTGGTTATTTGTTCTGCCTGGAGAAAAAAAAAAAAAAAAACAGGAAAAAAAAAAAACTTCTGCCTGGAGAAAAAAAAAACAGGAAAAAAAAAAAAAAAGAAATTGAGAGTTTTATCTTTTATGAGGCTTCAGCCTTTTCAGTCAGCTTTGAGTTGTTGTGTTGTGAACAAATGCACTCTGCTGGTGGGCAGCTCTCAGGTGTGTGGTGTGCAGCTGCCTCTGTGCCTGTTTCTGTGTCTGGCCTCTGCCTGTGTAAAACAGGCACTCCGGGGAATTGATGTGCTCCCAGCTGACGCCCAAATCCCTGACAAAGTTTAATTTCTTCCTAGGAAGTAGGAAAAACCAGCTTTTTCTTTGAAAGCTGTGTTTTTCTTTGAAGAACGGAGCGGGTTGCTCTGGCAGCTCCGTGGGCAGAGCTGGGCAGGCTGTGCCCCCAGGCCGGGAGGAGCCGGAGCTGCTGGCAGGGCTGCTCTCAGCGAGGGGGTCCTTGGCAGCCCTGCAGCCCTTCAGCGTGGCCCTGGGAGCGGGCAGAGGCAGGACAAGCAGCTGAGGTGCCAGGCCTGGGGCTGAGAGCTGCCTCTGGCTCTGGGCGGCCAGAGACGGCTCCCGATTCCAGATGATGCACCGCGCGCTTCTGCTTCTGTTTTCTGTAGAAAAGAGAGAGAAATGAAATTTAAACAAATATTTAGCAGATTGCTTCCTGCCTTTGACTGACTCCCAGAGGCACTATTTATAAAGGGAGCGGGAATTTGTCAGATTGTGCAAGTTTTCTGAGCACGGAGCTGCGTTCCTCTCTGCCCCTTTTGGCCTTGTGAGTCCTGAATGCTATTTCTGTACACAGCCTTGTTCCTTAAAACTTTTAAAGCACTTGAAAGAAGTAGTGATTTGTTACTTTGGGGAATATTATTTAAGGAAATATTTCTTCCTTGTGTGACTTGTAGGGCAGTGCTTCAGGTTTTAAGCTACATACAGTAAGTCAACATTACATGATATATACATGTAATTGAAAGACTGAATATAAACAGTTACAATGAAATAAACAACAGTTAAAATGAAATAAACTACACATTTCAATTTCTTTGGGATGTGCAAGACACCACTTTAGGAGCTGCATCTTGTTTTCAATGGATTTGTATGTAGTAGGTGTCAGTTTCTAACCCTCTGTCTTCTGTTTACTGATCTGCTGCAAAGTGTTGATCCATCCCAGAATTTGGTTTTCTCCTCCTGGCAGTCACGGGGAGAGGGCTGAGCTGCTGCCCTGCCCCATGGTGCCTGGGGATGACCAGCAGCTGCCACAAATCCCAGTTTTCCATTGAAGCACCTGGCTGCAAACAGTGTGTGCGGGCTGAAGCCTGGAATGTGAGTGATCCATGTCCCTTACCCTCCTGGTGGCACTTGCAGCTCTTCTGGACTGTCACCTCTTTGCTCTGGAATAACCTCACGGTAGCTCTGACAGCATTTCATGCTCTGGTCTGTCCCAATTATGATGGAAAACTATTATGGAGCAAGGAGGGTTTGTCTAGTCATGAGTACACTAAGGTTTTTATTGTCTTTTAAATCAGTAACAATGGAAACCTGCTAGGGCCCCATGAAATATATAATTACTGAGGTAACCATTTATATCTGTTCAGTTGAGGGTGAAGGACAGAAGGCCAGGAAGACCAAACCAGAGGAGACCAGCTCACAAAACTGCAGCAGTTGTCCTACTTTGCTGAACAGCAGGTGCCATCTCAGGTAGTGTGGCAAACGGTGACCCTCGGGGTGCTGCTGTACCTGAGGGGCCCTCGGTCACCTCTGACTTCTGGCATTCCTGTTCCTAGACCTCCAGGAATGTCCTCGAGCAGATGCCCAGCTTTGCCTCAGGAATGTCACACCACCTGCCCTTGGCTCCTCTTGGATCTCGTGGAGCCAGCACTGAGCAGCAATGGGCTGCAGACTTTGCAGAACAGGTGAGCAGAGCTCAATCGAAGGAGTCACGTCAGGACAAAGCTGCAGTACATTTTCTACGAAAAACCCCAAGGTCTGGACTGCAAATTCCCCAGATTTGGTGCCATGTGCTTGTGTCTGTTTCAGCTTCCTGTCCTCTGAAACAGAATGCCAGGCACTTCTCCTTTCTCTGGTACTGTGATAGCTGTGGGGAATCAATACATGCATTTTCTTTTTAAATCTTTCAAAATTAATAAAATCCTAGATTATTTTAGCACAAAGGATGTTAGGATGGGCTTTGCTGTTTTGGACCAAACCATGATATTACTCACTAACACATCTGACTGCCTGCAATGCCGTGGATTTCTGAGGAGTAGCTCTGAGGGTTGGTTTTTCCACTTTAACCATTTATTTGGCTCCCTCTTCTCCTTGTTTTCTAGTGAATTTTGTTTGCCACACAGTTTATCCGTAGTGTGTTTTGGGGGTTGTTACTGCTCCTGTTTTAGGTGCTATACTTGGCACTACTTTGTGGTTTTTCTACTTTAACCATTTATTTGGCTGCCTCTTCTCCTTGTTTTCTAGTGAATTGCATTTTTGTTTGCCACACAGTTTATCCATAGTGTGTTTTGGGGGTTGTTATTGCTCCTGTTTTAGGTGCTATACTTGGCACTACTTTCAGTTCATTGTTGGTGTGTGTTCTCAGCTGCTGAGGGAGCGGAGCCTGCTGGAGGCCGAGCTGCACCACGGGCTGGGTGTCAGCAAGGTGGCCTCCTCCTCCTCCTCCTCCTCCTCCTCCTCCTCCTGCTCCTGCCCAGCTCCGAGCAGCTGCACAGCTCCTCCGAGGGCTGCTGGCAGCTGTGCCTTTCCGGAGAGGGGGTTTGCTCTCTCTTCAGCCCCTGGGTTCAGTACAGGTGTGGCAGTGCTGCAGGTGAGCTCAGGGTCATGGGGAGGATGGTTTGTCTCACAGCCCGTGGCCACTGCCAGGGCTGCTGGGTCCCCCCCGTTGTAGCCCTGGCCAGCGAGGGGGTGTGCATCCCCATCTCCTGCCCCTGGCCCCCTCTGGCTCCCTGGGGGCCTCTGCCACAGGTGGCACCAGCTGTGAGGCCGGGGCTGTCACCTTCCCCAGCTGACAGAGGGGTCGGTGGGATCTGTGACAGTTTGGTTCTCTGGTGCATCGGGACAAACTCGGGGTGCTTTTGTTTGCAGGTTGTGTGGGGCGGTGAGCACGCTGTGAGTCCCTCTGGGGGTTCCTCTCCAGAAGGATGTTTTAGCTTACCTGTACAACCTGTAGGTGCCCTGCAGCCGCCTGAGGAGCTCGTTTGGAGACCTGTTCGGGTGGGTGCTGAAGGAATTGCTGTCACCCCGCCCACAGGCTGGTGCGCGCTGCTGCGGTTTCCCTTTGCTTTGCATCCCGTGGAAACGCCGCGGCCTTTGCAGCCTTCGCTTCACTGCTGCAGCTGCTCTGCCCGTGCCCGGGGGATGTGCGGTGCCCGGGGGATGTTCGGTGCCCGGGGGATGTGCGGTGCCCGGGGGATGTGCGATCCCCGAGTAGGTGCGGTGCCCGGAGGATGTGCGGTGTCTGGGAGATGTGCGGAGACCGGGGGATGTGCGGTGCCCGGGGGATGTGCGATCCCTGAGTAGGTGCGGTGTCCGGGGGATGTTCAGTCCCCGGGGTCTGTGCGGTCCTGGAGGATGGGGTGTGCATCCCCATCTCCTGCCCCTGGCCCCCTCTGGCTCCCTGGGGGCCTCTGCCACAGGGGGCACCAGCTGTGAGGCCGGGGCTGTCACCTTCCCCAGCTGACAGAGGGGTCGGTGGGATCTGTGACAGTTTGGGACACGATTCTGGGGTGCATCGGGACAAACTCGGGATGCTTTTGTTTGCAGGTTGTGTGGGGCGGTGAGCACGCTGGGAGTCCCTCTGGGGGTTCCTCTCCAGAAGGATGTTTTAGCTTACCTGTACAACCTGTAGGTGCCCAGCAGCCGCCTGAGGAGCTCGTTTGGAGACCTGTTCAGGTGGGTGCTGAAGGAATTGCTGTCACCCCGCCCACAGGCTGGTGCGCGCTGCTGCGGTTTCCCTTTGCTTTGCATCCCGTGGAAACGCCGCGGCCTTTGCAGCCTTCGCTTCACTGCTGCAGCTGCTCTGCCCGTGCCCGGGGGATGTGCGGTGCCCGGGGGATGTGCGATCCCCGAGTAGGTGCGGTGCCCGGAGGATGTGCGGTGTCTGGGAGATGTGCGGTGCCCGGGGGATGTGCGGTGCCCGGGGGATGTGCGATCCCTGAGTAGGTGCGGTGTCCGGGGGATGTTCGGTACCCGGGATCTGTGCGGTCCTGGAGGATGTTCTGTCTCTGGCGCTGTGCGGTCCCTGGGGGGTGTTCGGTGCCCGTCGGTACCCGGGGGATGTGCGGTGCCCGGGGGATGTGCGATCCCTGAGTAGGTGCGGTGTCCGGGGGATGTTCAGTCCCCGGGGTCTGTGCGGTCCTGGAGGATGTTCTGTCTCTGGCGATGTTCGGTCTCTGGAGCTGTGCGGTCCCGGGGGCTGTGCAGTCCTGGAGGATGTTCTGTTTCTGGGGCTGTGCGGTTCCGGGGGCTGTGCAGTCTCTGAGGATGTTCGGTCCCCCAGGGTATGTTCTGTCTCTGGGGCTGTGCCGGTCCTGAGGATGTTCGGTCCCCGGGGTATGTTCGGTGCCCGGAGGATGTGCGGTCCCGGGGGCTGTTCGGTCCCTGGAGGATGTTCTGTCTCTGGGGCTGTGCGGTCCCGGGGGCTGTGCGGTCTCTGAGGATGTTTGGTCCCCCGGGGGCTGTTCGGTGCCTGGAGGATGTTCTGTTTCTGGCGCTGTGCGGTCTCTGAGATGTTCGGTCCCCGGGGTATGTTCTGTCTCTGGGGCTGTGCGGTCCCGGGGGCTGTTCGGTCCCTGGAGGATGTTCTGTTTCTGGCGTGCGGTCTCTGAGATGTTCGGTCCCCGGGGTATGTTCTGTCTCTGGGGCTGTGCGGTCCCGGGGGCTGTTCGGTCCCTGGAGGATGTTCTGTTTCTGGCGCTGTGCGGTCTCTGAGGATGTTCGGTCCCCGGGGTATGTTCTGTCTCTGGGAGCTGTGCGGTCCCGGGGGCTGTTCGGTCCCCGAGGGATGTTCGGTCCCTGAGGATGTTCGCTCTCCGGGGCTGTGCTCGGGGGCTGCTCTGCCCGCAGCCCGGGACCCTCTCGGTGCAGCCGAGCCCCGGCATCGCGCCCCTCACCGCGCTGCCCCCGCGGGCTGGGCGCGCCTGGCTCGGTGCTGGGGCAGCTCGGCTGCAGCGCAGGCAGCGCTGGCTGGAAGAGCTGCAGCTGCTGCACTGCTCTCTAAGGGCCTCCTTTGGTGCGGGGAGAGGCACTAACCTGTTTGAGTTTGTGAAGCTTTATGCGTGGGTGTTCGGTTCCTTGGTTTTTAAGTTAAAAAAGAATTAGGTTCCCGTATGGCATATTTTTGGCTTTGACTTTGTAAAGGAGGAATGGAAACCTTTCAGATGCAAATCCACGTATTGTGATGCTCACAAGCTGCCCCAGTTGCCGTTTCCCCTCCTGGTTTGTGTCCCTAGTTGGGGTCTGCAGAGTTCAGGTTTGTGGTTCCATTTCATAGGGAGCAGGAAAGTATTTCTCAGTAATAATATTTTAATAGGCTTACAGACACCTGGCGGCAGTAGGGTTTAATCAGAAACACCAGGAAAAAGAAATAGGAAATATAGAACTGCACAAGTGTCTGAGCTCTATGTTAATTTCTTCTGCTTACAAGCTAAACCTCAGTAACACAACAAAAATAAGTTTTGTTAATGTTGATCTACAATAACAAGTCAGAAAGGGTGTAGTAATGATACAAGACATTAAAGAATTTGTTAAAGATATGATACACAGAACTTGTTTGGAAGGACCTTTTTTTAATCAAGTGGAGTTAGAAATTCCTGAAAACTGTTACTAAAATTTATGTATACATTTTCAAACAGCTTCTTGGTCTCCTTTCAAAGCACCCAGCCCCCGTGCATGTTGACAGTAACATTTTCAGCTCCTTTCTAGCCTGCTGTAAGCCCAGCTGTTTCTCTCAGTCAGGGCCTCAGTCAGTGTGAGGCAATAATAAATTACAATTCACAAATGCTCACATTTAGAGACTCACCCTCTGTGGATTGCGGTGCCCTGCTCTCCTCTGCAGTGTCTTCTGAGCGGGTGTCAGTGAGGGAGGGGTGTGTTTGGTTTGGTGTGCCTGGAACAGTTACTTATCTTCCCTAAACTTCCTCTTTTAAAAGAATTCTTTCACTTTTTAAAAAGATTCTCTCTGCTGACCACTCCTTCAGTATTGCTTCTGGTGCAAGTGTGTCTCAGAGTGGAACACTCACTGGATTTCTGTCTGTGCTGTTGCACTGGCTGAAGAGCAGAGGGTTGACATCAGGCACTGTCCTTGTAATTAATTACCCTGCTAATGACCTCGTCCTCCTGCCCTGGGGTATCAGGGTGTGGAGCAGCAGGCAAGGGCTGGCAGTGACGGGGGTCCCAGGGCTGCAGGAGATGTTTTAAGTTAACTTCAATTCATAGATTCTTTTCAGTAATGAGGAACTCTTCCCAGTTGGGCTAATTAGTGACCTTTGTCCCTGTGACATAAAACTTTGTGCTGGAGACAAACGCTCCTTGGGGTATTTTGGGTGTGAAATTTGCATTTCTCACTAACACCTATTTTTCTCCACTTCACATATTGGTGTTCCTGGCCTGGGACCGTTCTTGCCTATTTGTGTAATCATTAATGTCAAAATATGAGTTTTAAGTGTATTTTCTCTATTTACTGATTTCCAGACCCTGTCTGTTAAGTCATGTTATTATCAAATATAGCTTTTAATTTGGATAAATTTTCTCATTTCTCCTTAATGAATTCCCTCTGCCCCGGTGCAGCTCCCTGGGTCATGACACAGGAGGGGCTGTCAGTGCTGGGAAGTGAGGCTGTGTGCCTGTAGGGACACCTGATGTCCCAGGAAGGTGCTGGGGAGCAGGCTGAGGAGCCTTACCCAGCTGCTCACAATTTCAGTCCTAGAGGTGTCCAAGAAGTGATTTGGAAGTTCAAGGCTTTGTTTGCAGGAAAACTTGAACGAACTAGGTGTATCAGCCTTATTATCTGGTAGATGCTGCTTATCCAAAATGAGCTTGAAAATGTGTGAGAAGTGCTAACCAGCCAGGGTTTGGGCATGTTTGTGAAGTGCTAACCAGGCAGGGTTTGGGCATGTGTGAGAAGTGCTAACCAGGCAGGGTTTGGGCATGTGTGTGAAGTGCTAACCAGCCAGGGTTTGGGCATGTTTGTGAAGTGCTAACCAGCCAGGGTTTGGGTATGTGTGAGAAGTGTTAACCAGCCAGGGTTTGGGAATGTGTGAGAAGTGCTAACCAGGCAGGGTTTGGGCATGTGTGAGAAGTGTTAACCAGTCAGGGTTTGGGAATGTGTGAAGTGCTAACCAGTCAGGGTTTGGGCATGGGTGAGAAGTGCTAACCAGGCAGGGTTTAGGCATGTGTGTGAAGTGCTAACCAGGCAGGGTTTGGCCATGTGTGAAGTGCTAACCAGGCAGGGTTTGGCCATGTGTGAAGTGCTAACCAGGCAGGGTTTGGCCATGTGTGAAGTGCTAACCAGGCAGGGTTTGGCCATGTGTGAAGTGCTAACCAGGCAGGGTTTGGCCATGTGTGAAGTGCTAACCAGGCAGGGTTTGGCCATGTGTGAAGTGCTAACCAGGCAGGGTTTGGCCATGTGTGAAGTGCTAACCAGGCAGGGTTTGGCCATGTGTGAAGTGCTAACCAGGCAGGGTTTGGGCATGTGTGTGAAGTGCTAACCAGCCAGGGTTTGGGCATGTATGAAGTGCTAACCAGGCAGGGCTTGGCCATGTGTGTGAAGTGCTAACCAGGCAGGTTTGCCATGCAGCAGCTTTCCTGCCCTGTGCATTTGCAGCAGCTCAGGTTCTGGTCCCCAGCAGTGCCCATTCCAAGGTGCAGCAGAAGATCTGCAGCCACATCCAGCCCCCAAACTCCAGCCTGCAGCAGGACCCGGAGCTCATGCTGGATTTCCTGGAGAGCCCTCAGCCCCCAGCATTAACTCCTGGGTGCTGGGCAAGGTCCTGGTGCCGAGGGAGCCCTGCTGGGCTCTGCAGGGCAGCGGGCTGGGCAGTGACCCTGCTGGGCTCTGCAGGCATCCCTGCCGCCTGCTTGTCCGTGCCTTGCCTTTGCCGTCGCTGCCACTTTCATCCCTGTGCTGGAAATGTGTAAAGCACTCTGAGTTACTCTGTTGAATGAGTCTGTGCAGGTTCTCAGAAGGGAGGGAGGAGCAGCAGGCACTTGCTGTCAGACAGGAGCAGTTTGGTATCAGCAGCTGTGCTGTTCCAGGCTGAACAGCTCAGGACAGCCTTTGCCTGTTTGGAGTCTGGAAATGAGGGCAGGTTCTGCATTAGGTCCTTGCCTACTGTTACGATGGGCGTTTTGTTTATTAAATGTGTAATTTATGGATTAAGTCTACATAGGTTTTCGAAAAATCTGGTTTTTAAAAGTAATATGAGTTTTTATTGGGGGAATGGCTTTAAACTGGCAGAGACTAGGTTTACATTGGGATATGAGGGAGAAATTCTTCCCTGTGAGGGTGGGCAGGCCCTGGCACAGGGTGCCCAGAGCAGCTGGGGCTGCCCCTGGATCCCTGGCAGTGCCCAAGGCCAGGCTGGACACTGGGGCTGGAGCACCTGGCACAGGGGAAGGTGTCCCTGCCAGGGCAGGGGTGGCACTGGGTGGGATTTACCAGTCTGTCAACCCAAACCAGTCTGTGATTCTCTGGAGTGTGGGGCATCCTTGGCAGGGCAGAGCAGCTGAGGGGAAGCAGTGTTGTAAGAGCACAAAAGGGAACATCTAAATGCAGCCAAACGAGTTTCACTCTAGAGTAGAGAGAACATAACTTGCACTGGGCTGAGTCAACTCTGCTGTTTCTTAAGCTGTTACATAACCCTGAATCATGCCCCAAATCCCACATTACACCGTATGGCATCTCTGAAGTAAAACTCTTTAATGCCAATGGATTTTGTGGCTTGTCTCCCTCCTGATGGCAGTGCTGGACGGGCAGGGGGAAGGGTCCTGCAGTGACCTGTCACAGTGGCATGGAGCTGGGGAGGGTGCCTCACACCCCTGTCCATGCTGCTGGGTGCCTCACACCCCTCTGTCCCTAAAGCTGGGTGCCTCACACCCCTCTGTCCCTGAGCCTGGGTGCCTCACACCCCTCTGTCCCTAAAGCTGGGTGCCTCACACCCCTCTGTCCCTAAAGCTGGGTGCCTCACACCCCTCTGTCCCTGAGGCTGGGAGAGGAGTCTCAGTGTTACCTGGTTTTATTGAAAGATAAAATTTCCTGAAGCTTTTATAAGGTTTATGTTTTTTAGTCTAGAATTTTAGTATTTGAAATCGGTATTTGTTGAGATTCAGATAAGAGCTGTCAGTATTTGCCATAAAAACGTTTGGGAAGTGCAAGAAAAGGTACAAAAGGGACAAGTGCTTATGTGTAAATGTTGTACTGTTTATTCTATAAAGTGCTTGTGGCAGGGGTGTGTGCACTGCTGCGCGAGACCCTGCAGTGTTTGTCCTGCCAGGTGAGTGACCTGTCCCTGCAGGTGTGTGACTGTCCCTGCCAGGCGTGTGACTGTCCCCGCAGGTGTGTGACTGTCCCCGCAGGTGTGTGAGTGTCCCCGCAGGTGTGTGGCTGTCCCCACAGGTGTGTGACTGTCCCTGCCAGGTGTGTGGCTGTCCCCGCAGGTGTGTGGCTGTCCCCACAGGTGTGTGGCTGTCCCCACAGGTGTGTGAGTGTCCACGCAGGTGGGTGACTGTCCCCGCAGGTGTGTGAGTGTCCCCACAGGTGTGTGAGTGTCCCCACAGGTGTGTAACTGTCCCCGCAGGTGTGTGAGTGTCCCCGCAGGTGTGTGGCTGTCCCCACAGGTGTGTGAGTGCCCCCACAGGTGTGTAACTGTCCCCGCAGGTGTGTGAGTGTCCCCGCAGGTGTGTGACTGTCCCCACAGGTGTGTCACTGTCCCTGCCAGGTGTGTGGTTGTCCCCACAGGTGTGTCACTGTCCCTGCCAGGGGTGTGGTTGTCCCCACAGGTGTGTCACTGTCCCTGCCAGGGGTGTGGTTGTCCCCACAGGTGTGTCACTGTCCCTGCCAGGGGTGTGGTTGTCCCCACAGGTGTGTCACTGTCCCTGCCAGGGGTGTGGTTGTCCCCACAGGTGTGTCACTGTCCCTGCCAGGGGTGTGGTTGTCCCCACAGGTGTGTCACTGTCCCTGCCAGGGGTGTGGTTGTCCCCACAGGTGTGTCACTGTCCCTGCCAGGGGTGTGGTTGTCCCCACAGGTGTGTCACTGTCCCTGCCAGGGGTGTGGTTGTCCCCACAGGTGTGTCACTGTCCCCGCAGGTGGGTGGCTGTCCCCGCAGGTGTGTCACTGTCCCACAGGTGAGTGACTGTCCCCACAGGTGTGTGACTGTCCCCGCAGGTGGGTGACTGTCCCCACAGGTGTGTGGCTGTCCCCGCAGGTGTGTGGCTGTCCCTACAGGTGTGTGACTGTCCCCCAGGTGAGTGGCTGTCCCCACAGGTGTGTGACTGTCCCCGCAGGTGTGTGACTGTCCCTGCCAGGTGTGTGGCTGTCCCCGCAGGTGTGTGGCTGTCCCTACAGGTGTGTGACTGTCCCCACAGGTGTGTGGCTGTCCCCCAGGTGAGTCACCTGTCCTGCCCCGCCTCCCCGGCCCGTGTGCCGCCGGCAGCGCTCCTCCCCGGAGGATGCTGTCCTCCCTCGGCACTGCCCTCCCTCCCGGCAGCCGGCAGGGAAGCTCCAAGGGCCAAGCCCGGCACGAAAGCCTTGATGCTGGCCGAGGAGGGCCGGGCAGCGGCGGTGCCGGTGCCCAGCAGGTCCTGCCAGGCTCGGGGCACTGGGCACGGCTGCTCCCTGTGCTGCTGCCAGCAGCCCGGCCCCTGCCCACGCCCTCGCTCCTCAAAAACCTTCCTGCTCTTCTCCTGGGTTTTTAACCACTCAGGGCCATCAATGCTAATTCCTGTCGCTGAAATCATTGCATTTCCACTGAAACGGGGCTGTGAGGAAGGGCATTTCCAGGCTGGCACTGGGGCTCGTGGGGTCCTGGGCAGATCCTTGTGTCCATGTCCCACCTCCCGCAGCCTGTGGGAAGCAGCAGCTTCTCCTGCAGCTTCTCCTGCAGCTTCTCCTGCACCCCTCCAGGACAGCCCAGTGTGCCTCTCCAGGACAGCCCAGTGTGCCCCTCCAGGACATCCCAGTGTTCCTCTCCAGGACAGCCCAGTGTTCCTCTCCAGCACAGCCCAGTGTTCCTCTCCAGGACAGCCCAGTGTTCCTCTCCAGGACATCCCAGTGTTCCCCTCCAGGACAGCCCAGTGTGCCCCTCCAGCACAGCCCAGTGTTCCTCTCCAGGACAGCCCAGTGCTGTTCTCCAGCAGAGCCCAGTGTTCCTATCCAGCACAGCCCAGTGTTCCTCTCCAGGACAGCCCAGGTGTGCCTGTTTCCCCAGCAAACAGGTGAGCTGTCAGCTCCCTCATCCTCCTGCTGCAGAAAGTGAGCCCACGGCTGGTCTTTGATGGCTGCATATTTTCAGTGAAGGTATCCACAGTGCAAGCTGAAAATTGCAGATGTTTCACTACTGAGAAGTCGACACCAATAATCTTAATTATTTGGGAAATGGTTTGGGTGCAGGTAAAGCTAGAGGGAGTTGCTGGAGCTTATAAATTCTCTGCAGCTGGCAGTTTAAGAAGGGCAGTGGCAGAGGCACTGACAGGGACACACACTGTGCTGTTTGGGAGCCTTACATGGAAATGAAGAGTAAGTGTGATTTCAAGCATTTACATCATTTAATTTTGCCTCATTTGTCATGCAGGTGAGGTAAGTGAAGTGATTTCCTAAATCTGTGGTGTCAAAACCAACATAGACTTCAGTGTCTCGTTGTGGTTAAGGTCACATGGACACAGTGAACCAACTCCTTTGTCTATCTCAGTGCCCACAGCTTATTTTGATATTAATCCATCATAACCACAAACCCCAGCTGAATTAATCACTTACCTGTTAGGCTGCACTTTCAATGTCAGAAGATTCAGTTCTTTCTTCAGTTCTTGAGCTTCTGTAGCTGTTCTAGATGAGGAGGATTTTGTACAAAGAAAATGTTAGTTGGTGAAAAATACCCATTTTTTACAAGATTTCCCCTTCTTGCCACAGAGAAATTATTTTTTGGAATTCATTCTTCTCGTGATTGTCACCTCTTGGCTGCTGCTCACAACAGCATCAAAGTGGGGGCTGTGTTTGCAGTCCTGCAGGCAATTTTGGTGCTTTTGGTAAGGGTGTGCAGAGTGCTGTGTGACGTGTCTGTGCCAGTGTTTGTGTGGGAAACAGCCGTGCAAGTTCAGTTCTGGGGGAATGCTCCTGGGAAAGAAAACCCTGAGAATGAGGGAGGAATGCAGCTGCTGTGTCCTGCAGGGAGCACGTGGGGAGGGCAGGCTCCGGGTCAGAGGCAGATTTCCCTGGGGATTTCCCCAGTGCAGTGTGGCTATTGCAGATGTTGACCCTGACCCCCATCCCCGAGTCCCAGTACATTTCAACCCAGGCAAGTCCCTCTCAAATACAGAAGGGAAATAGGGTGAGTTTTCTGTCTTTTGCCACAAATCCTGGCTGTCTGCCATTGTGGAAAAAAGCTGCAAAAGCATCACCCTGAGCAGCTCTCCACGAATGGTGAGTGTGACTTCCCAAACAAGGAGCTGCCTTTGGTTTGGCACTGGCTCAGCTCGTTGGCACCCTGCATTAGTAATTCAAAAATTTTACTGGCTTTGCTGGAGAAAAGCGTCAGATAAATGGTAGCTGTTGCAGTTCTGAGCTGAGGAGGCAGCTCCAGTTTTGTCAGAGCTTTCTGGGATGGCTTTGGGTTCAGGTGGCCTCGTGCCACTCTGCTCTTTGTGTTGTCTCCCTGCCAGCTCCTTCCCTCTCGTCCTTCCTGGGCAAAGGTGTGGGCTGGCAGTGAGACTGAGGGGCCACTGGTCAGACTTACCTCTTGGATACAGAATGTTAATAAATCCAAGGGAGAGAGAGCCCTTGGAGAAAGGGCATCTGAGAGCAGTGTGTTCCCTGCTGCTTGGTTCAGAGTACTGAGCAGCAGTGTCAGCTGAGAGCTGTGGAACTGCACATTGTTCCTCCCTGGTCTGACCTTTTGGCATGCCATTAACTATTAGAAAGATCAGTGGTTGTGATGATTGCTTGTAAGAGGAGGTTTCTGCACATGCTGTGTTAAAGGATGAAATTTATTTATTTTCTTCAGACCTGCAAAGTGCTGACTTTAATGTTAATAATACTAACAGTTAACATTTGTAATGTGAACTCTCCCCTAGGACTTAGACCAGTGGACTCTGTGACAGCCCTGGCTGGAGCTGCAGCTCCTGCTCAAACAGTGAAGAACCCTGTGAGTATTGGTTTCCAAACATTCTGATTTAAATGTTTAATGCAAAAAAAAAAAGTATGTTGAATGCTGACAGAGTCCATGAGCAAACATGCCACGAAAGTGCTAGTGTACTTGTGTTTGACTGCCTGGGGCTGTGTCTGGAATGAGCAGCTTGTTGGATAACATCACAAAGGCCACAGTGGAGGTGTTTCAGCAACCCCTGAGCTAAACAATAACTCTTCTAGCTCTGGTATAGGCCTCTTCTGTCCAAACTCTCTTGGGAATGCTGACACAAGTAATACAAGACAGAATGTAAAAAAGACATTCCCAAAGTATTTTTATATCACCTTTTAATTCTTTTAGCCATCGTGATGCTTAATTGTGTGTAGATTGCCTCGACTGTTTTGCACTTGAGCCAGGAATTACAGAAATGGTTACCTGAGGTTCCTTCTGTTTACTTTTGAGTAACAATAGATGTAGTTGCTATTCTTGAACTTTCTGCACATGAGAAATTGTGGCTGCTCAGTCCCCACTGGTGGCTCCAAAGGCATTTTATCACTGCTGTGTTGAAGCAGCCCAGTCTTGTCACAGCTAAAACCTGCTACAGAACTGCTCAAATATTTTGGCTGAAGTAAATTTGTTCTGCTGCGAGTTCCTCTGAGTGAGGAGTGTGGCTGGTGCCCCCCTGACTGCAAAACTGCCCCCCTCTGTTCCAGGTAGGGTCGTGAGAGCTGCAGGAGAGGAGCTGGAGAGAGGGCAGCACTTGGGGCCATCTGTAAAGGAGAGAGACAGACAGACACAAAGGAGGAATGGCACTGGGAGCCCCTGCACAGGGAGCTGAACAGTCCTGTGGAGGGCTTTGCTGAGGGTTCAGATGTCGCTTGGTCTGATGAAATGCCATTGGTTTCAGAGCAAGGAATGTGGCAGCTTTGTGACCCACCTGCCAGGGACTGCTTTGGGCCTGGTGGTGGGGAATGTTGGGGAATTAAAGGAACAGTTAGAGCACTTGTTGTCTCTTCCCTTCTGTGGCTGTAGGAGATTTCCTTGCTGTTAAGCTCCCACCATTGTCATGTCACTTGCTTCCTGCTGGGAATTTAGCTTAAGCTTATCTCTAGCTCCAAATGTAGGAGAATTTTAATTACTTAATGGTTTTTGATTTTCCTGCAGTAAAATATTCTTCCACGATGACTGAAATGTGTTTGTACTTTCTTGGGGTTATGCTAGACATTCCACTGAATTAAGTCCATGGTGGAATTTTAGAGCAAGCAGGGGAAATTTCCTTAGGACATGCTTCAGAGCAGGAGCATGGATTAGAAACTTTATCTGCCTTATCTCCACCAAAACGACATCCCTGGTTAGTCAGGGCAGCCTTGGGATAACCTGCTCTGGAATTTTAGAGCAAGCAGGGCAGCTCTTGTTCTAATCAGAGCCTTTAGGGAAAATTTCCTTAGGACCTGCTTCAGAGCAGGAGCATGGGTTAGAAACTTTATCTGCCTTATCTCCACCAAAACGACATCCCTGGTTAGTCAGGGCAGCCTTGGGATAACCTGCTGTGTTCCTGGGTCAGGCCTTCAGGCGTGGGGCAGCTCTGGCTCCCCCTGAGCTGGGGGATCTCAGTGGCAGCTCCTGCAGCTGGGCTGGCTGGGGCTCTGCCTTCCTGAATGCTCCTGAGTGCCTCTGCCAGGACTTCAACTGACTGAAATAGAATGCAGAGATGCAGCAGTGCCGCTGGAGGGGAACGCGGGTAGACAAAACAGGGAAGGGAGCCAGGATGGGAAGTATCAAAATAACTCCACTAATGAAGTGCTGTGTTTGCTTCTCCTAAAGCACGTCCCTGCTGAGCCAGCAGCCCTTCCTGTCACTGGTACTCACTTGCCTTGAGGGTCAGGATGAGCAAAGGGAAGGGCTCCGTGCATCCCTGCACAATCAAGTCACTCAGGTAAGACAAGCACAGAACCACGAGCACCCTTTGTCAGCTGGGTGTGTGTCAGCAGTTTTGTGTGTACATGGTGGTGTCAACCCGGGGAAATCACAGTGCTGTGCCAAGAGGAGCAGTCCCAGGAGGGGAAAATGGGGAGCCCTTGTTCCTCTTTTGAGTGTGAACACATCTTTACTCCTAAATTTGTTACAGGTAAATGTAATGGACTGGAGTCTGATTTCACTTCTTTGTAGGAAAAACAGTAAAGGTGTTAGCCCTGAGACCATGTCTTGCCAGCCCCTTGCTTGATCCTGCAAAGTTTGTATAAATTAAAACTGTCCTTCTTTAGGAAAACCTGTCACCCTCTCCAGCTGGCACGGATTAAGAGTTTTGCATTCTGTAAACAGCAACATCCCTGGTCCCAGACTGGCCACTGCCTGCAGCCCTCCTTCTCTGGAGCTTCTCACAGCCTCTGCTCGTGGTGCTGCACACCTCCTGCTCCCCATCTCCAGCAGCTCCCTCAGGCTGAGCACACCCAGTGCCCGAGCAGGGGGCTGTGCCTCCTTTCCCTGAGTTCAGTTTCTGCCAGCTGCTGTGGCAGGGAGGGTTGGTACCATTGTCATTCCCCACACTGCCACCAGCTCAGGTCCAAGCTGGGACACAGCTCCACATCCCAGGGAAATTCATTCCTTTGAGGTTTTTCCCCCTGGTTTCTGCCACCTGGGTTTTCCTTTCGTTGTCTGGGCTGTCCCCTGATGTGCAGCTGGTCCAGGTTCCCTGGGTTTCTGGTCATTTCTCATCTGGAGATCCCACCAGATCCTGTTGGGAAGCTGCACCCAGTGCAAGAGACTTAGTGACTTACCAGTTGTGAAATAGTGTGTTTCAAGCAATATTGCTAAGAAATGCATAACAAAGCTGATTGGTTTTTTTTTTTCTGCAGCAGCAAGATGCCCTCACACAAATGGCAGCAGATCATCAGCTCTTTACAAATTAACTTCTTCTTCCCATTGGTTTTCTCAGTCTGTTCTAAGCCTTAAATAGAGAGAAGGATAAAAAGGTCAATAATCTTTTATGATTCCTTGTAGCCAAAGGGCCACAAATACTTAGAGGGAGAGCATTACAGGAAGAAAACCCCCTTGGTCAATGTTTTTTCCTTAGATCCTCAGTGACTGGAGGGAGGAGTGGTACCAGGAAGATGCCAAAGCCGGGCAGGTGATGCACGAAGCCCTGCCAGTGTGTCTCAGCTGGTAACAAAACTTGAGGCCATGCTGAGGCTGTGAAAGGAGTGCAGCAGCTGCTGGGGAGGAGGTGGTGAGGAGCAAGAGCTGCAGAGTGCCCAGCCCTGGGCTGGCTGGCTCTTTTATTCCAGGGTGATCCCTGTGCCAGGGAGCCAAGGGCTGTGTGCTGGTTTGTAGGGGGGCATGTTTGGCACAGTGAGGGGAGCACCAGTGCACCCCACGTGGGCCCTGCTGCTCCTGCAGCTCGTCACTGCCCTGGCAGCTTCAAGATGAGGTTGTATGTGTGCAGTTGTTATCCTTTTATCCTGTTACTGCTTCGTTTAGAGGTTTAGAGGTTCTGTGCTGGCTGTGGGGGTGCCTCTGTTTGGGAAAGCACTGCAGCCTTCATTGTCACTGCAGCCTTTATTGTCACTGCAGCCTTTATTGTCACTGCAGCCTTTACTGTCACTGCAGCCTTTATTGTCACTGCAGCCTTTATTGTCACTGCAGCCCTTATTGTCACTGCAGCCTTCATTGTCACTGGAGCCTTTATTGTCACTGCAGCCTTTATTGTCACTGCAGCCCTTATTGTCACTGCAGCCTTTATTGTCACTGCAGCCCTTATTGTCACTGCAGCCTTTATTGTCACTGCAGCCCTTATTGTCACTGCAGTCTTTATTGTCACTGCAGCCCTTATTGTCACTGCAGCCTTTATTGTCACTGCAGCCCTTATTGTCACTGCAGCCTTTATTGTCACTGCAGTCTTTATTGTCACTGCAGCTTTTATTGTCACTGCAGCCCTTATTGTCACTGCAGCCTTTATTGTCACTGCAGCCTTCATTGTCACTGGAGCCTTTATTGTCTCTGCAGCCTTTATTGTCACTGCAGCCTTTATTGTCACTGCAGCCTTTATTGTCGCTGCAGCCCTTATTGTCGCTGCAGCCTTTATTGTCCCTTTTCCTCCCCAGAGCATTTTCCCTGTTGGACCCTGTAATTCCTCCTGGCTCTGTTGGCAGTCTGTGCTCATGAGCTGCCTTTGGGGCCTCTGCCATGAATCAGATCTCTGGGCCTCCTGGCAGCCACAGCTCCCCAGGATAACACTTGTCTCTGCTCCCAGGGAATTGTTCAGCACCCTGCTGGATATGCTGGGGGTCCTCACCAGTGGGATGTTCGCCTCAGACCTGTCAAACGCCTCCCAAGGAGGGCCTGAACACAACAAAAGGCCTTACATGCATTCAGTGAAGAAATTAAAAGTGTCATGTATGTCATTTTCAGCATTTTCTTTGAATTGCTTTCTGTGCCCATGTTTTCATCCTGTCATTCCTAGTGTCTGGGAAGGCCTCTTGGAAAAAGAGGAAAGACTGAAACATTCCTGGTGATAACAAGAAATAGAAGAAAATAAAACTACAGGAATGTGGGTGTGGGAAGAGATTTCTAGGACTTTCTTAATATTCTGTTAAATTTGGGAACTCTGCAAGATACTTCGTTACTTTTATTCATGTTTGGAACACTTGCATTATGTACTTTCTATGTTGCATTTAAAGAAGAGATTAAAAGAAAACTTACGTTCTTCAAACAAAGAGAAAAACCCAAAAACCTTGCAAAGCCACTTGCTTAAATTTAGTAAAAGTACAAGGAAATGATTCATGCAGAAAGTGGATGTTTTCTAATAGTGAAAGCAGGGTGGTGGTGTGCCCTGTCCCCGTTTCTGTCTGGCTGATGGGTGTGTGTGCTCCCAGAAGGAGCTGGGGGACAAGAGAGCATCGCCAGGGCCTGGCAGCCCCCCTGACTCTGACTCAGGTCTGCATGTGCCCCTCTTGTTTGGGGTAAGGTGTAGCTGATACTGCAAGTGCTGGTTTCTGAAAGGCTTCCTGCTCGTGTTGTGTTGGCACCAAACATGTTGGTTTAGACCCAGGTCCCATTCAAGTGGACTTTTCCAGTTTGGAAAAGGCTCACATGGCTAAACTGTGCTGCTGTGCAGCTTGGTCTGTGTCTGAGACACTTTCCCTTCTGTGGGGGCTGGGGCTGTGGGCTCCTGAGCTGAGCAGACAAAGCAAGAGCTGGAAACAAGCCTGGCACCAGCATGGCCAGCCCTGGTGTGGCTGTGCTCAGCTGGATTGTCCCTGGGGTGCTGCTGTTCCCTGACCATCCCCCTGGATTGTCCCTGGGTGGGCTGCACTTCCCTGAGCATCCAGCTGATTGTCCCTGGGGTGCTGCTCTTCCCTGAGCATCCCCCTGGATTGTCCCTGGGTGGGCTGCACTTCCCTGAGCATCCAGCTGATTGTCCCTGGGGTGCTGCTCTTCCCTGAGCATCCCCCTGGATTGTCCCTGGGTGGGCTGCACTTCCCTGAGCATCCAGCTGATTGTCCCTGGGGTGCTGCTCTTCCCTGAGCATCCCCCTGGATTGTCCCTGGGTGGGCTGCACTTCCCTGAGCATCCAGCTGATTGTCCCTGGGGTGCTGCTCTTCCCTGAGCATCCCCCTGGATTGTCCCTGGTGTGTGCTCCTGTTCCCTCAGCATCCCCCTGGATTGTTCCTGGGTGTGCTGCTGTTCCCTGAGCAGCTTGGATGTGCTGTGCCTTAAGTAGCTGTAATTTTAAGGTGATTTTCTGGCCTTTTTATGTCTCAGTAGAGTCCTTCATGTTACTAATATCCTGATACTTGGAGCTGTCCTGGTGCTCCCCCTGCCCATGGCCTGGAGAAGGTGCCTGCTCTTGGGGCTGGGATGTGCTGGAGCTGTCAGTGGGAATTACCAGCCCTCACGGGGAGTTCACATCATTGCCAATAACAAAGGACCTGTCTCTGCCTTTCCATAATTCAGCAGGAAAATGGGCATTACTTATGAGTTAGCAAGGTATGAATTAGCATTTCCTTCTGCTGTGTATTTTGGGACTGTGCAGAGGCCAGCTCACAGAGTGCCTCCCCTGCTCCTCGCTGCCATCCCTGCTGGCTCACACAGCCCCTGGCCCTGTGGGGGTTCCCCTGGGGGTACCCCTGGGGGTACACCTGGGGGTACAGCCCGGGGACCCTCCTCAGCCCAGCTTCTTCCTGCACAGCCAGCCCCTGGCCCCTGCTGGGTTATTTCCTCTGTGATTCATACCGAGAGCCATGGTGCATAATTTGCCATCTTCTAGACGTAATAAATCCACAGGCTCACATTTTGTCAGCATTTTGGATATGTGCTTTGTTTTGTGTGGGATTGTCTTGTTTCTTCTAGTTAGTGAATCAGAGTTTTACAGCGATTTTCTGGCTCCAGAGGGCAGCACTTGGTGACGATGTGAGAAACATTACTGTGACTACTCCAAGCAGAAGTTTAAAAGTTTGGTTCCAGTTATAAATATAAATGTTTATTTCTGAAGCTCCAATTACAACTAACCTGTATTATAACTGTGTAAATTCTTCAGAATATACTACGGAGTGGCTAAAAAGTTTAAGGAAATGCTGCTTTTGAAAACAAATGTATAAGATGACTTTTGAAGTCTGACAGAGAGATGCACGGTTGTTATCAAGTTGCAGAGGGTGCATAAACTGTTGCCATACCACAAAATTGGCTTGCCATACTGAGATATTCAGGCCATGTTTTTGATGTGACATGCAGCTTTTGTTCAGCAGTAGCAGTGAGATGCTTTATGTGACACAGAACACAGAGCAGCCCACGGTCTGTGAGCTTTTTTCCCTCTGATTTACAAGAGCTCCTGTGCCAGGGAATCTGCTGCTCTGTCGAAAGCCCTCGCTGGTAAGGCAAAGCCAGATGTACGTTTGAAGAGGCACTGCCCCTGCCCCTGTTTTCTGTATTTCCTGCAGGGGCAGTCACTGCTGGTGCTGCTGGGGCGGGTCAGAGGGGGGGACCCGTGGGTCTGCAGCAGGTACTCAGGGAGGGTCACCAATCTTACCCACCTGGCAGCCTGAACTGTGACGTTGCTGCTTGCAGTGCGTTGTCAAAATCACAAAAACCTTGATTTGTACATCTCTGTAAAGATATCCTGTCCAGAGTGGCAAAGGCTTTCTTGGAAGGCTTGGGTTTGGTTCTGTGGGGAGCTGGGCAGCTGCAGGGAAGGATCACTGCTGCTCCCAGCTCCTGCCCGTCCCTGGGCTTGTTTGGGACAAGAAGTTGGGAAGTGCAGCCGTGCAGCATTCCAGTCACACGGGAAACACACGGGGAGAGCTGAGGGGAGGGACAGAGTGGGCTTTGTCCCCTGTGGAGCCCCTGATCATGCGAGGTGCTGGTGGCTGGCACCGCTCCCTGTCCCTGTGCTGTCCTTGAGGAGCATCCCTGCTGCCTCCAGGGCACCTCCAGCCCCGGTGGAGCACTGCTCCTGACTTGGCACCCTTGATTTTTAGGCTGAACTCCTAACAGGCTGGGGGGAAAACGGGGTTTACTGTTTGAAGAGCCTTTTAAATTAAATTGTTCGTAATAAACCAGAGTTGCATGAAGACAGCTGAACCAACTGAATTTTGAGACATAACTTTCCGCTGGATTGGAGCCTTTGCTGGATTAGGGAATGATTTTACCCAACAATTGTCACTGCCAAATCCTTTTTTAATCTCATTATGCTTGTTTCCTTTATTTCCACAGTTTTTCCAAACATATTTAAGGTAGGTGAGGATAACTAGGAAAGTTTGCTATAGAAAAGTAGAGAAAATACAGTCATGCTGAAATTGCAGCTTTTGAGTTAAAAAGCATTAATCTTATATAATTTTAATCCATTTTTGAGGGTTTTAAAAATAGTTCTTATATAGTTCTCAAACTGATGGGAGAGTGTTGCTGCAATGGGCACCTGCCTGGTGCAGACTCTTCTGCCAGCCCTGCACAGCAAAAGGTGCTGTGGGTTGGGTTTATGTCCCAAAAAACCTCCATGTGCTGGCTGGTGCCTTTGACTAACCTCAGCAGTTACTACAGCCTGGTAGCCAGGAGATTACACAACATGTTTAAAGTGAAGGATTTGGTTTCAGAAAAGAAAAAGATGCTGAAGTCTTGTAAAACACTGAAACTGCCTTCAGTAAGCACCAGGTTCTGCTGAGCAAAGCTCGGGCGGTTTCTGTAGCGCCCACAGAGTTATTAGGGTGCAGGATTACTCCAGTTTTATTCAGCACATCAGATTTCCAAAGAATCACTTCATTAAAAGCATTGGAAGCAGGAGCATTTTCACTGGGTCAAATGAGAAAAACAGCTGGGGATTTAGGGGGCAGATCTGTAAAGCTGAGCGAGCAGAGATGGATGGTGGGTGCTGAGTTTGGGGTGCCAATCCCACCGTGCTCAGTGCCACAGCTGCAGTGGGGCCTCCCTGCAGCCTTCTCTTCTGCAGGCTGAACACCCCTGGTGGGAAGAGAGCAGGTGTTCTGAGAGTTCTCAGGTGCTGCCTGTGTCCTTGCTGTGCAGGACACCCTCCTGCCCTCGCTGCCCTCCCCAGCTGCTGGGCCCTGTGCCAGGGCAGTACAGCTGGGCACTGTGGGGTTTGTTCCTGCCGTGGCTCAGGTAACAAAGTGTGGGGTTTGTTCCTGATGTGTCTCAGGCATTGTGGGGTTTGTTCCTGCCGTGGCTCAGGCACTGTGGGGTTTGTTCCTGCCGTGGCTCAGGTAACAAACTGTGGGGTTTGTTCCTGATGTGTCTCAGGCACTGTGGGGTTTGTTCGTGATGTGGCTCGGGCACTGTGGGGTTTGTTCCTGCCGTGGCTCAGGCACTGTGGGGTTTGTTCCTGGTGTGGCTCAGGTAACAAATTGTGGGGTTTGTTCCTGATGTGTCTCAGGCACTGTGGGGTTTGTTCGTGATGTGGCTCGGGCACTGTGGGGTTTGTTCCTGCAGTGGCTCAGGTAACAAACTGTGGGGTTTGTTCCTGCCATGGCTTGGGCACTGTGGGGTTTGTTCCTGATGTGTCTCGGGCACTTAAATGCCTTAATTTTGCTTTCCTTTAAATCCCCTGAACATGGAGAGAACCAATGCTAGCTAATAACGCTAGAGCTAATTTTCCCTTTCCTCTCTCCTTTTGCCCAGTGACTGCAGACTGAACGCTGTGATGTGTCCAGGCACTCACGGGCTTGTGGCTGCCTTTGATTAAAGCCATTGCAGGGTGAGCCCAGCCTGGCTGCAGCCTGTGCTCCCCACCATTCCTGCCGCGTTTCTGGCTCAGATGACGTGGACGTAGGTGACTGCGGTGTCAGTGCCAAGGGGGTTCCTCGCTGTGCACTTGTACATGCCAGAACTGGAGGGTCGGGGGTTCTGCAGGAGCAGAGTGCCCGTGGGGTGCAGCAGCTCTCCCCCAGAGCCCCGGCCCTGGCGAGCTGTAGAGAGTATGGAGCGGTCAGGTAACTCCCAGGTAATTTCTGGTTTGGGGACGCCCAGCGCGACGCAGAGGAGCTGCACTGCCGCCCCTGGCAGGGCGCGGACGGCTGCGGGGGGCCTGCCCATGATCCGTGGGGCGTAGGCTGCGACCACGACAGGAACGGTGAGGGAGGAGTCTCCAGCATCGTTGTGGGCCCTGCACAGGTAGTTCCCCGCGTCGTGGGCCGCGGCCGCCCGGATGAGCAAGGTGCCGTTCTCCAGCAGCGCGTGCCTCCCGGCGAGCTGCGGCCGCTCCAGCACGCGGCCCCCCGGCAGCGTCCACGCCAGCCTGGGCTTGGGGCTGCCCTCGGCCAGGCAGTGAAGAGACAAAGGCTCCCCGCTGACCCCCTTCACCAGCCCTGCAGGCCGGGTGAGGATCTTGGGCTTCTGGGCAACCTCCAGGAGCATCAGCTTTTCGATATAGCCAACCTGGTTGCGGGCAGCACAGCGGTAGCGCCCGGCGTGCTGTGCCTCGGGACTGTAGATGGTCAGGGTGCCGTTGCTTCCTGTGGAAAAATGGGATGTCCTGACGCTGCTGGAAAACCACGTGCCATTGGGCAGCATCCAGCTTATGGCCGGGGGAGGGTTTCCATCCACAGAACAGTTCAGTGTGATCGTTTTCCCAGGTTTTGCTATGATTTTTTCATTGAAAGGGTTCTTGAACATCGGTCTCCGTAGCATTTCTGTGACTTCCAGCTGCACCACCAGCACGGTCTCTCCCCCATCGTTACGTGCCACACAGATAAAATCCGCCGTGTCTGAGGGCCTGATGTTCCGAATCTCAAGCGTCCCGTTTTTGTGCACCACAATCCTGCTCCCGTAATATGGGGCTGTTAGGAAAATGTTATCAGGCATGATCCACATAATCTGAGGAGGAGGTGTCCCTTCTGCCCGGCAGTCGATGTGTTTCTTGGAGTGCCTCACTGCTGTCACCTTCATGATCGTTTTGTTCCTGTATAGACCATTTATGATGGGGGGTTTGGCAGCCACATCCAGCTTGTACAGTTTGCTGTCGTCCCCGCCAGGGTTCCGAGCCACACACAGGTACTCCCCAGCATCCAGCAGGCTGGCCTGGCTGACGGAGAGCGAGCCGTTGGCGTGCAGGGAGTGCCTGTCTGTGGACGAGGAGATCATCTCACTGGAGGGCAGCAACCAGAAGATCTGTGCCCTGGGCTCTCCAGCAGCCTCGCAGTCCAGCAGGGCTGTGTCTCCAGCTGTCACTCTAACGTGTGTCTTGTAATTGTGCTTTATTTGAGGGGCTGCCACGATGACCGTGACGTGGATCTTCATCTCGTCCCTCCCCAGAGTGTTTTGGGCGTAGCACGTGTAGTCTCCCCCTTCTGCCACCCCAGCTTTGTTGAGGTGCAGAGTGCCGTTGTCGAAGAGGACGTACCTGCGAGCCCGGCGCCCGCTGTCATCCGCCAGCATCGCGTTGTTCACCACCGTCCCGTCTGGCAGGCCCCAGGATATTTCTGGTCTGGGTGACCCTGAGGCCTTGCAGTCCACTCTGAAATCCTTCCCGTAGGGCACCAGTTTCTTGAACTGCTGTTTGTGGTCAATCTTGGCTGGTTTCATTGCGATGCTGACTTTCATCAGAATCAGATCATCCCCAATTCTGTTTCTTGCGACGCACAGGTAATCACCTGCATCCTTGTCTGTAACTGCCTCAATAGCCAAGGACCCGTTGGGGTAGACATGGATCCGACTTCCCATTCTGTTGGGAGAGAGAGAGAGAGGAAAAGAATTATGGAAACAAGTGCTGGGGGCGAACACTGAGCACTGGAAGGGACTGAACATGTTAGCAGCACGGTGCAACACAGCAGGCCTTTCCAAAGGCACTGTGCCCGTGCCTCCTGCCCACCCAGCGTGCCCTACCCTGATGCCACTGCCACTTTTGGTGTTGTGTGCATGTGAGAGGTGCTGGCTCTGCTGGGAACACCCTGAGCTGGGGCTGTCTCTCCTAAGGTGGCGGTGAGTGTTACTGCGGGAGGGGGTCTGGGGACACCTCCAAAGGTAGATGTGGCAGAGATTAAAGAAACCCCTCCCTCCTGAGCCCTGCTTCACAAATCTGTTACAAATACCTTCCCCTCCTCTAAACTGACAGCAGTCAGCCAGTGCGTGGTGACAGTAATTACCTTAATTCAAATATGACCTGTACCTGTTTTGAGACCTCACCCACTTGTGGCAATTGATGTGATCTGTTAATAGGTCTGTTATTAGATAGGGATGTTGTTAGAACAGATGTTTTACAACTGTTAAATGCTTAAAATTTGGTTTAGTTCACTTTGTTTTAGTGCTGTAATAGCACTTATGTGAGCACCAGAGCAGATAGCGTTTGAAGCTCCAAAGAGGAGGAGGAAAAAAAAGGTCATACCTGTGCCACTGGTCCACAACAGCCTTGGAGGGCAGCCTCCAGATTATCCTGGGCTTGGGCTCTCCACTTGCTGTACAGTTCAGAAGCAGCCTCTCCCCAAAGTTCAGCCGAGTCAGCTCCTGAGAGGCCATGGCAATTTTCGGGAGCGTCTCCGCGCTCTGCACCGCGAGGCTGACCACCCTCCTGTCGGAGCCGGTGGAGCTGGTGGCGATGCACTCGTAGGTGCCGCTGTCGGAGGGGGCCGCGCTGCCCAGGAGCAGCGTGCCGTTGGCCAGCAGCAGCAGCCGGCCGTGCAGCAGCTGCAGCGGCCGCAGCGCCGCGCCCGAGGGCAGCACCCAGCGCACGGCGGGCTCGGGCTTCCCCCGCGCCGTGCACGGCAGGCTCAGGCTCTGCCCCGCCGCCCCCGCCACGCTCTGCCTCTTCTCCTCCAGGATGCTGGGAGGGGCCGCGACCACCTGCAGCCTGAGCGGCAGCGTGTCGGTGCCCGCGGGGCTGCTGGCCCGGCAGGTGTAGAGGCCCCGGTCGTACACGGTGAGCTCCCGCAGCAGCAGCGTGCCGTCGGGCTCCAGGCGCGCCCTGCCGCCGCCCGCCTCGCCGTGCCGCAGCTCGGTGCCGTTGGCCAGCAGCCAGGAGATGCGGGGCGGGGGGCTGCCCCGGGCCCGGCAGGGCAGCGCCGCGGAGCCCCCGGAGTGCGCGGTCAGCAGGCGGCCGCGGCCGCCCGCGATGCGCGGCGGGTGCGCCGGCACGGCCAGCGACACCTGCAGCCGAGCCGAGCCGTGCGCGTTGGCCGCCGTGCACACGTAGCGCCCGCCGTCCTGCGGGCCCGCCCGGGCGATGGCCAGCGTCCCGTTGGGCAGCACCGACCAGCGGCCACGGCCCGCGGCACCGCGCCCTGCGGAACGAGGCACGGAGCTGTCACCGGCTGGGACCGACTGGGAGAGACTGGGAGAGACTGGGACTGCCTGGGAGAGAGTGGGACTGACTGGGAGAGACCGGGACTGACTGGGAGAGACTGGGACTGACTGGGACAGCCTGAGACTACTGACTGGGACTGACTGGGACTGACTGGGAGAGACTGGGAGAGACTGGGACTGCCTAGGAGAGAGTGGAACAGCCTGGGACTGACTGGGAGAGACTGGGACTAACTGGGACTGACTGGGACAGCCTGGGACTGCCTGGGAGAGACTGGGACAGCCTGGGACTGACTGGGAGAGACTGGGACTAACTGGGACTGACTGGGACAGCCTGGGACTGCCTGGGAGAGACTGGGACAGCCTGGGACTGACTGGGAGAGACTGGGACTAACTGGGACTGACTGGGACAGCCTGGGACTGCCTGGGAGAGACTGGGACAGCCTGGGACTGACTGGGAGAGACTGGGACTAACTGGGACTGACTGGGACAGCCTGGGACTGCCTGGGAGAGACTGGGACAGCCTGGGACTGACTGGGAGAGACTGGGACTAACTGGGACTGACTGGGACAGCCTGGGACTGCCTGGGAGAGACTGGGACAGCCTGGGACTGACTGGGAGAGACTGGGACTAACTGGGACTGACTGGGACAGCCTGGGACTGCCTGGGAGAGACTGGGACAGCCTGGGACTGACTGGGAGAGACTGGGACAGCCTGGGACTGACTGGGATAGACTGGGATAGACTGGGATACCCTGGGACTGACTGGGACTGACTGGGAGAGACTGGGACTAACTGGGACAGCCTGGGACTGACTGGGAGAGAGTGGGACAGCCTGAGATAGCCTGGGACTGCCTGGGACCAACTGGGAGAGACTGGGACAGCCTGGGATAGCCTAGGACTGCCTGGGACCAACTGGGAGAGACTGGGACTGACTGGGACAGACAGGGACTGTCTGGGACTGCCTTGGACAGCCTGGGACTGACTGGGACTGCCTGCCTCTTGTTGCATTTTCCTCAGTCCCGAGTACCCTGGCCTGCTCTGCTCTGCCCAAATAACCAAGACAATATGATAAACCAGAAAGAAATCAGAGAATTCTGCATATAGAATGACAAAGTGAGTAAGAAATTTAAAGTAAGAATGAAGCTGGATCTCCAGCAGAGACAGAGTTTGAATAAAGCACGTGGGGCTTTGCAATCCAAAGCTGGCACAGCTGTAACTGAATTTGAGTGGTTTTACCACATTTTTTTTTCACTTGTCTCACTGACCTGGAATAGCAGGTAATCTACAATGAATACTGAATTCTTCCCACAAAAAGCAATGACTTATAATTAAACATAGATTTGATTTTTAAAATCATTTCACTAAAGAGCTGTTCCAGAATCAGCACTAAGATGCTCCAGTGAGTCTCTGTCACTGTTTCCAAGTTTACCTTTCACTAATATTTCACAGTACTCTGAAATGAAGCAATGCTTGAGTTGGCACTCAGAAGAGGTGCCAAATTACAGGACTAATGGAAGGTAAATTCTAGAGAGGTTTACCAAGCTCACCTGATGATATCTTGGTCCACTGGATTGTTGGAGGGGGGTTCCCAGTAGCTTCACAAGGAATAAAAGCATCAGAATTCGCCAGCAGAGTGAAAGAAGCCAAATTCCCTCCGACTATCCTGGGCTTTGAGAAACGGCTTGTGCTCGCAGAACCGAAGGTGCTGGGACTGGGCAGGGTCGTGGTGCCTTGGTTTCGTCGCCTTTCAGAGCGGGCAGTGGCAGGGCTCTCCTTGTCCCCTCCCCACGGAGATGCGACCCCCGGTGCCCGCAGCGCGTTCCCCCGCTCCGTGCCCCTGGGGGGCTGCCTGGGCTGGGGCTGGCCGTGCCCCCGCGGGGGCCAGGGGGCTCTCGGGGGGGCTGCGGTCGGGGCTGGCAGAGGGCAGGGCTGCTGTGTGCCGGCAGCAGGGACAGCGCTGGGCACGGCTCCCGCTGGGGGTCTGGGCTCTGCTGCCTGCTGCTCCTGGGCAGCCGCCTCCCCCAGCCCCGGGCAGGGCTTTTCTCCTGCCCCGGCCGTGGCTCTGCTGTGCTGGGCAGGAGCTGGCCCCGGCGTGGCTCCGACTGCAGCAGGTCGGGCACTCGTGGCACCAGGGGGCTCGTCCAGCCACGCTGAGGTTTGGAGACCCGTGGTGGGGCTCTGGGCAGGACTGGCAGCTGGTGACGCGGCCAGCTGGGTGCTCCTCTGCCAGCCTGGTGTGGTTTGGAGTGCCACGGGGGGGCTCTGAGCAGTCGCACTGCCAGGCAGGGGTGCTGCTGACGGGGTGCTCCTCCAGGTGCCCGGGCTTGCTGCTGTCTGTGTGGCTGCTGTGGGCCTGTGCTGGGGGGCCTCAGGGCTCTCAGGGACCCCCAGTGCAGGTGGTTTTGTCCTGGAGGCTTCACTGATGCTCCCAGGGAGAGGTTTTGCAGGTGCAAGGCTTAGGGGCACAGCTGGTGATGTAGGAGCTGTCACTGTGGGGGTGGCTGTGCTCACTGCAGGGGTGGCTGCAGTGCTCTGGGCTGCAGGGGTGGCTGCAGTGCTCTGGGCTGCAGGGGTGGCTGCAGTGCTCTGGGCTGCAGCCACATGCTGTGGGGCAGGTGTTTTAGGAGGCCTCTTCCTCCTCTGACCTCTCCTTCCTCCCACCCTGAGTATTTTACTTTTGGTGACTCTGGTGTTGGTTTGAGGGGTAGTAACAAGTGTGGGCTTCAAACCCATCACACCCAACGCCCCGGTTGCAGTAGTGGCAGTGTCCTCTGCAGTGACAGACATGACTGTGGTAGCAGCTTTTTGCCTTGCCCTGTGTTTCTTTTCCTCTTCCCTGAGGAACGCTGTGTTTTGATAGGTACCCACGGGGTGCTCCAATGGCATTTCCATGGTGGAGCGGGAAGACTGGGGTGTTTCTGGACTTAATGGATTGATGGAACTGCTCAAGTTATTTAAGGTTGGTACATTTGGTACATAGTTCATATTCAGGTGAACATCTGTAGCCACAGCTGTACTTCCTCTGGCAGACCCTGGCCTCCCAAAGTTGTATCGGTGCTCTTTCACACCTGGGATGTATCCTGGTCTAACAATTCGTCTCCAACCAGAAATTTTCCTTCGTCTCCCATAGTGCTGCTGGAGCTGGGGTGGATGGGTTGGAATGTCTTGGATCACCTGAATTTGCTGACGAGTAGCGAAAGTTGAGGCCAGTGGTGGATTAGGGGTTCCTCCTTTCTGAGTACTATGAAAATAAATGGGGCCAAATTCAGAGCTTGGTGCATCCACTGTTGCCTGGTGATCTGTTTCAGTGGAGACATTATCAATAGACTCAGTGAAAATATGTAACTTGTCTGCTGTGTTTTGGGGAGTTACAGCCTTGCTGGTGCCTGTAGTTTCTGTCGTGGGTGTCGTGGATGCAGACTTTAGATGCTGGTTATAGCTTTTCCCAGAATATATTGACTTTTGCCCAGCAGGGAAGAGCGTGGCTGTTCCACTTGGTACAGTTGGCTGTTTTACACCATTTGCTGATATTTGACTCAAATCAGATCTTTCCCATGAGTCTGTAGGTTTTGGAAGTGTTTGTGGCCTGTTGCTGGCAGGTGCCACGGAGTGTGGAAGAGGTGAGGGTAGGGGAGTTGATGGCTCTGGGAGCAGGAGGGAGGTGCTGCAGGCAGGAGGGGGATTTGCTGTCTCCTGGGGCCCTGCAGTGATTGTGAGTTCTGTTGCTCTTCCCAGAGCAGACACTGGAGATCTCTCTGCTGCCGGTATCATGAATTCTTCTTCTGGAGACACGAGATCACCAGATGTCTCCTCCTCATCCTCAGGTACCTCTGAGAGCTTATGGACTTGAATGGGTGGCTCTGTTGCATCTTCTCCTCGTTTGCCTGTCACTGTCGAGTTCCTCTTTGTTTTCTCCAGCAAGGCCGCCCAGCGCTGTGGATCAGCTCTCCTTCCTGAGGAAACAAACTGTCTCCTGTGTCCCCTGAAGCGCCTGCCTGTTCTGTCTGCGTGGTGAGGCGTTTTCCCGTGGCTGTTCCTCCGCCGCGCGCTGCCTGGCGCAGCAGATTCCCCGCCAGCTCTCAGGGTGGCTGCAGTGCCTGAGGGATGGCTCTGTGCTGCAGCAGAGCGCAGCAGCTCGTTGCCAGAGCCTTCTTCCCACTCTCCCAGAGCTCCGTGCTTTTTCTTCAGAGCAGCTTCATCCTGTCTCAGCAGCACTTGGAAAACCAAAAGATCAGCGCCGTACCGGTTGGCTGCCACGCATCGGAAGTAGCCCACGTCTCGCTGCGTCACCCCTTGTACCCTCAAGGTGCCATTGGCAAAAATATGTTTGTTTCCAGCAGACTGACGGAGAATTGTGTGCTCGGGCAGCACCCAGGTGACGGCAGCGTCCGGGGCAGCCTCGGATGTGCAGGGGAGGTGGAGCGTGCTGCCGAGGGCGGCCGACAGCCGCGCTCCGTTGACACCGCCGTGCTCCACCTGAGCATCCAGCACCGTGATGCGGAACGTCAGCGCCCCGGCGTCCTTGCGGTTGGTGCTGATGCAGTGATAGAGCCCCGAGTCAAACACGTCAGCTGTCCGCAGCGTCAGCACCCCGCTTTCCAGGACTATGATCCTCCCGTCCTCGCTGACGTGAGGAGCTCGCACTTTGCTGCCGTCGGCCAACAGCCACTCCACGGCAGGAGCTGGCTGCCCAGCTGCCCGGCACCCCAGCTCCACGCTGCCCCCGACCAGCACGGTGTGCTCCGTTTGGGTGCCGTTGTCCCTGGAAACGATGGCCCACTCGTGTCTCCCCTGGTCTTGGTCCTCGCTGGGCAAAGCGAGGCGTGCCTCGGTGGCGTAGCGCACGTGCAGCGCGCTGAGCGTGGTGGCTGTCCTGTCCAGCTGCAGGGCCACCGCGCTCTGCATCAGCCAGGCTGGCTCAGCTCGCAGCTCAGCCTCGATGCTGGTGAAGAGCTCGTCTTGCTCACTGTAGATCTGCTTGTATTTGTAGCCAACGAAAGGCTCCTCAGCTGTCTGCACGGTTTGCTGCAGTTTCAAAGGAGAGCTGCTGTACAGCGCCAGGATGCCCCACAGCTGCTGGATGTGCCCATGATCGATGCCACACACCAGCAACGCTGAGAAGGAGGCTTGGAGCACTCTGCTGGGGCCATTTTTGTCAAGTGAGATGGGAGACGTTTCTTTAGGTCTCTGGACACTGCAAACCAAGTTGCCTCGATTTCCTGCTTGGTCAGTCATATTCAAAACCACAGATCCTATTGGAGCTATCAAGTCCTCGGGAGACACGAAACTGAAATCCCCATCGTCGGGCACCGTGAGGTTTCTGGATTTCAGGGAGTCATGGATGACTGGCTTAGTGCAGGTGAAAGATGCTGAAGGAATATCCACTAAACTTTTCCCATTATGACTTTTGGGACTAGCACAGATTGGGCATTGCTGGACGCCAGAACTTCTCTCTTTTCTACACTTTATAACATCTGAAGAGAAGGAAACTTCAGTAAGTTTCTGTGCTCCAAGATTTAGTATTAACAATGACATATAGCTACTAACAAGTGGTTCTTTTGAATAAAATAAAACCAAAGTTTGAAGTGACATGTGAATGGCAGCAGCAGAGAAAGTCCTAGAGTCCCTTGAATTCCTGAATTTCTTTTTAAAGAACCAAGTGCAATGTGGCTCTTGCTCTTGCCAATTCTGCAACAGTAAGCTTGTTCCCTGTGGATTCTCCCAGTGCACAGAAGCTTTGGACTGGCCAAGGAAAATTCTCCATTAAGGAAAGCTGCACTTGGGAATGGCCACTAGATTAATTTAATCTGGGAAACACAGTAGTATTAATCTCTTTATCCTGATTGCACACACCTACACAAATCATTCTTCCAGTCTTTTCTGGAAGAATAAATAGATGAATAAAGGACAATTACCTGTATCAGGAAGAGTAAGATGCTATGACAGGATTAAAGAGCAAAAACAAAGCCTTCAGCTCACCTGGTCTCTCCCGTGCCCACCCTGCAAACCCCTGCAGGCTGCAGTCGCAGGACCAGGGGTTTCCATGGAGGTAAATGCTCTCGAGCTCTGACATGTAGGAAAACATCTCTTGTGGAAGGGAAGTCAGCGCGTTGTCAGACAGAGAGATGTGCTTCAGGAAGGATATTCTGAATATTTCACTATAGCGCAAGGTGACAAAAGTGTCTGGATGCAGCTGCTGCAGTAAATTTCCATCCAGGTGGACCAACCTCAAGGAAGTGAGTCCGTAAAAAACATTGGGATTCACAAATTCAATTTGATTGTGGTCCATATGCAGCCGTACCAAGCTGTTCAGGCCATAAAATACATCCTGCTGAAGCACTCTGACCTTGTTGTAACTCATTTTTAAGACCTGTTCATGAAAAAGTGACAAATGCATAGTGTTAAGCCAAGTTAAAGTTATAGGACCCCTAATAAATGCTGCTGAAGGTTGCTCTGCGCAGTGAAAGCTCTTCACCAGACCAGGAATGCCAGGTAACTGGAGTTTCTGTAAAGAACTGAAGTGTTTATATGCAGTGTGTTAAGCTTCTGCACAGTTTGAATTTGTTCATGAAGGCTAGAAAGGGACAGGACTGTACTGAAGGGAAAGGGAAATCACAGTGGAAAAAAAAATCCTCAAAAAGCCCCAAACTGACTAACAAATTAACAATGACACGTTCCTTTTTCAGACACGGTAGTTGGAGCTTTGCAATCTTTTTGCTCTGTGGAAAGAGAGTTTTGACTGCAGCTGCCTGCTAAGGTACAGCTGAGAGATACCTACCAATGGTTTGGCATGCTCTATACCCTGTGCCTGAGTGCCTGCCTGGGAAGCAAAGACATTTCCCACTAGGATACTGGATGTTGAAGGCTGTTGACTTTCATGTGAATAAGGTAAGAAACAGGAAACTGAAATGCTGCAGAAGGCTGCTCCGCGGCTGCTCAGGATCACTGAGTTAAATCATAACAAAATTAACAGTGGCTCATTTAGTTCTTACCTGCAGTGAACGTAAATCACTGAACACCTTCTCAGGGATCGTGCTGATCTCGTTGCTGTGCAGCATCAGCAGCTCCAGTTTCTCCAGGCCAGCAAAGTCCGTGGGGCTGAGCTTTCGCAGGCTGTTGTAGCTGCACGGGATGGGTTCAGTCAGCCCAAACTCACAGCTTTTAAATCCAACCAACACAAAACCAAAACCCCACTCTTTGGGAATGGCTAAAGGTAAGCAGCGCTTCCCTTGCCAAGAGGAAAGGAAGTCATTCCTTCACGTTGGCACAAAAGGTGGTCACTTTCCCAGGACAGGGTTCTGACGGTGAATTCCCGGTGGATGGGGCGAGTGACAGCAAGCATGAAACACAAAACACATCTGTCTGTGCTCACTTCACTACCAATTCAGTTAAAAGCTCCTTCTATGTTTTCTGCAGACACATCTGGGTGGTTCAAAGGTTATGTGTATCAAAAGGGATACACAGATCAGACAAATACTGCCGATGGGTCTCACAATTTGATTTAAGAGAGAGGACACTTGCTGGAAACTGCATAAAGGGGCCAGACAAGCCTGGATATGATCTATTCCCTGCTCCTTTAACCACACAGAATTCCCTGCTCCTTTAACCACAGAGAATGGAGCCACCATGGAGGCTGACAGGGCCAGACAAGTGGAATTTCCCTTGAACTCAGCAGATGAAAGCATAGACCCTAATGCTGTGGGACATTCTAAGGGACAGAATCACAGACCAGGCTGAATCAGAAGGGATCCAGAAGGACCATTGAGTCCAGCCCTTCGGTGAATGGCTCACAGGGGGATCTAACCCCCAACCTTGGTGTTACATCACTGCAAAGTCTCTGCAGATTTTAACACTCGTGCTCCTTTTGCAGACCACTTTCTGCACTATCCTTCCCCAGGGAGAAATCTATTTCAGCCTTCTTCCAGGTTCCATGCTACAGACACAACACATTCAGGTAATATAAAGGAAAGTTCAAAACTTCCTAAAGTTCTCACGTGTCCTGTGCTAGATCCCCAAAATGTCTCCTTACTGTGGGTGGTCTCGGGCTCTGCTGGCTGTGGCTGCAGCCGCTGCTGAGCACTGCAGAACATGATAGACTTACCTATCGCTGTGGTTAAGTTTTAGCCCTAGGTCTGGGCGGTCAGTTAGTGCTGTGCACAGTGCTGGAAGGCAAGCTGAGCGCTCCGATGCCGCAGCTGCACGTACCCCAGGTTGATGCGCTGCGCGCCCGGCGGGATGCGCGGCGGGACGGCGGTGAAGTAGCGGAAGGTGCAGTGGAGCTCGGCGGAGCCGTGGCAGGCGCAGGGCCGGGGACAGGCGCTGATGCCCGGCAGGGTGGCCAGGCAGGCGGCCAGGAGGGTCCCCAGCCAGCGGGGCCGTTCCCTGCGCGGGGCCCCCATCCTGCGGGATCCTACGCTGCCATCCCCGGCGGCGGCGGGCGGGCTCCTGCAGGGGAAGCAGAACACGCTTACAGCTCCAGCCGAGCCGAGCCGAGCCGAGCCGAGCCGAGCCGCTCGGGTTTAAGCCATCAGCAAAAAAAGAATTCTTAACTTCAAAGAAAAACCCGCCCACGAGCCAGCCCCCAAACTCTCGGGTTTCCCCTCAGCGACGGGTCTGTGTCATGACCTAAAGCGTTGTCATTTGACAGCTGCCCCAGCGCGCCGTGCCCGGCGCGGGGTGCTCTCAGGAAAAGCAGGAATTCCGCGGGGAGCGGCGCCGCCGCTGTCCCGGTGCGCTCCCGGCCCGGCTCCGCGCAGCGCTCCCGGCCCGCCGGCGGCTCATCCCCCGGAGGCGGCTCCACACGTCAGCTCCTTCCCCGCCAGCAACTATTCCAAGCCAAATGAACTCGTTTCGCATCCCTCGCACAAAGCCTCCCCGGGACCGGGACCGGCCGCGCGTCCCCAGCGGCGCGTCCCCGGGCCGGGCAGGGACAAAGGGACAAACCGGCACAGCCTCCTCCTCCCGGGGGACCCCCGGGCTCCCCGCAGCCCGAGCGGCTGTGAGGGGTCTGTCAGAGCCTCAGACTCACTGACAGCATCCTTCTGCTGAGAGCGTCTCGTTCTAGGGCAAGCCTCCTTCTAGGAGGAGTTCGACTGGAGAGGGAAAGGCAGTACAAAGCTCTAAAGTTAAGATAAAGCCTCAAATATATTCTTTAAAGTCCTAAAGTTGTTCAGGCGAGTTCAAAATCAAACGTGAGCTGTGGGAGTCCAGGAGGGTTGGCAGGGATGGGGTGTTCTGTGCAAGGCAGTTAGAACTTTGCTGGTGGGGTTTGCTGGCGGTGTTTGTCATCTCAGGGTTGCCTCAGTGGAACAGGGATGGTCTCACCTTGATTCAGCACGGGAGCTGGGGCCAAAAACACCGACCCTCTCGTGTGACTGGCACCTGGGGTCTCAGAAAAAAGGACAACGCCTCAGCTGAGCCCTGCACTAAATCCTGAGGGGCATTTTTAGGTGCTGCCCTAAGCACAGGGAAAATCTTCACAGCTCACACTGAGTTCTGCTCCCCTGGGTGCTAGAGAGGGTGACAAGGCTGTTGCTAGGTGCCTTTTCTCCATCTTAATTACTGTCTGAAAAGCAAATCACCAATTGTTTCTTTCAGTTCACCAATTTTTTTCATTCTGGAAGACTGAGGTCAAGGCTTCTGGAGTGACACATTCCAATGCTGTGCTTCTGTGAGTTTAAACATGAGGCAAAAGTTATTTCTAAATTATTTGTACTAGTCTCCATAATTTGTAGACATGGTCGGCAAGGAACTGAAATCACTTCTGAGAATGTTTTCCAAAATCACATATCTGAAAATCTGCATTAAAATAAAAACAATTATTTTAGATGTACGTGAACCTTGTCAATATTTTAAGAACAGGGTTTTCATCTCAGGATGTGCTGTCTGTTGTCATTAAGCTGCAGCTCTCACTGCTGAGAGGCAGAGCATTAAATTACAGGAGATACAAACTTCTCCCTCCGGAAGGTGGCTGAGGAACATGTGGAATATTTTATTATGATGTGGCTGGGATCTCCCAGGGCAGCCTAAGGGGGAGCACAATGGTTGTACAAACCCCGGCTGAGCTCGCTGCACTGCTGGCAATCCTGGCCCATGTCTGACTTTAGGACATTGGTTTAGCTGGAATTCATTACAAGGGAGAATGAAGGGAGCTTTTTGTTAAGTGAACCTGTATTTTGGCAAGAAAGTGTGACTGAGTGTGAGCTCAGGAGGGCTGGGAAGGGGAAAGCTGAGTGAAGGAGGTGTTTGTGAACTGGATCTGCATAGCAAAGTGTACGTAACAGAAGTGGAGCACAACTTCAGCTCATTTTTCAACAGTTCAGGTCCTAAGGTACCTTTCTGTGGAATAACCTGGCTTTGTCCAAGCCAGGAGGGAAGGCAGAGCTGCTCCACAGCTCACCATGTGGTTGTGTGCTCCTGGGGGCACGGGCAGGTCACCATGGGCAGGTCAACAGAAATTCTGTTAAGAGGCAGCTGTGGAGAACACCACCCTGATGTGGTTCATGCATCACTGTCAGCAAACGGGTTTGATTTTATGCAATTCTAATCTTAATTAGGTACCTGAATTATGTGTCTGGGTTTTGTTTGATGGTGTTTGGTTTTTAATTTGTTCTTCCATTGCAGACCTGGGCTGGTCCCTCCCTCACCCCCTGTTCCCCTGTGATACTGTCCTGGCTGTTTCCCAGGCCAGCACTGCAGGTGCCTCTGTTCCAGCAACACAGCATTCCCACTCTGCCTCGGTTTGTCCCTGCTCGTGCTCTCTCCTCTCTCTACATTGTGCCAATTCTCCTTGAAGGCCCTTTGCAAAATGTTTTCATGTTGTTCTTTTCCTTCACAGCTTCTTGCTGGCCAAATTCTTCCAGTGCCTCGGCGGGTTGCTGGATGCCTTGGAAAGGATGACATGACCCTCCGAGTGCTGTCCTGGGGATTTTCAAAACAACACACGTAGGTACAACTCTCCCGTGGCTCAAGGCCACAGTCAGACGTTCTAGTTCCACTGTAACGAGCTGGACAAGCTCCCAGCAAAGCAGCAACCAGGCCTGGCAGCACGGCCAGAGCTTGGAGCTGCCCGTGTGCTTGTGCTGGGGCTGCTCTGGGACAGTCAGGGCTGCCTGCGTGGGCAGCGAGGTGCTGAGCACAGGGCAGCGTGGGACTGGCCATGGCTGTCCTCCTGTCCCCTCCTGTGCTCCAGATTCCTTCTGTCCCCCCTGCGCTCCCTCAGCCAGAGACAATCCATCCTCTCCTGGGTGGGATGGGCTGGGGACAATCCATCCTCTCCTGGCTGGGATGGGCTGCAGACAATCCATCCTCCCCTGGGTGGGATGGGCTGTGGACAATCCATCCTCTCCTGGCTGGGCTGGACTGTGGACAATCCATCCTCTCCTGGCTGGGCTGGACTGTGGACAATCCATCCTCTCCTGGCTGGGCTGGACTGTGGACAATCCATCCTCTCCTGGCTGGGCTGGACTGTGGACAATCCATCCTCTCCTGGCTGGGCTGGACTGTGGACAATCCATCCTCTCCTGGCTGGGCTGGACTGTGGACAATCCATCCTCTCCTGGCTGGGCTGGACTGTGGACAATCCATCCTCTCCTGGCTGGGCTGGACTGTGGACAATCCATCCTCTCCTGGCTGGGCTGGACTGTGGACAATCCATCCTCTCCTGGCTGGGCTGGACTGTGGACAATCCATCCTCTCCTGGCTGGGCTGGACTGTGGACAATCCATCCTCTCCTGGCTGGGCTGGACTGTGGACAATCCATCCTCTCCTGGCTGGGCTGGACTGTGGACAATCCATCCTCTCCTGGCTGGGCTGGACTGTGGACAATCCATCCTCTCCTGGCTGGGCTGGACTGTGGACAATCCATCCTCTCCTGGCTGGGCTGGACTGTGGACAATCCATCCTCTCCTGGCTGGGCTGGACTGTGGACAATCCATCCTCTCCTGGCTGGGCTGGACTGTGGACAATCCATCCTCTCCTGGCTGGGCTGGACTGTGGACAATCCATCCTCTCCTGGCTGGGCTGGACTGTGGACAATCCATCCTCTCCTGGCTGGGATGGGCTGTGCACAATCCATCTTCTCCTGGCTGGGATGGGCTGTCCTTGATGTCCACGCCAGGTGTGAGGGCCAGGGACCCCCCAGTGGCTGCTGCTTTTGAAGCCATCCAGCAGGGATGACCTGGGCTCTGTAAATCATCCACGGGGTGGGCAGCCACAGCGAGAGCTCCTGCTGGAGCCTCTCACCCAGCACGGCCAGCACCTGCTGGCTTGGGAAAGCTCTGCATTTTCGTAGAAGCTGTGTCTGTGTGCCTTTCTCTTTCCCGGGGGCAAAGGCTGGAGGTGGGCAGGAAGGGAGGGGCTGTCTGTCACTGCAGCCCAGAGGAAAAGCCTGTCTGACACTCGGTGTGCCCCAGGAAGATCTGCTCTCCTCATCACTGGAGCAGCTCCTCAGCCGGGGTAATTCCATGTTTGATCTGCAGTGTCACGCCCCACCAGCGGTTCCTGTGCTCCCGAGGAGAGCTTTAATCTCCTGTCAGGCAGAGAGGCACCTGCAAATCCACTCCAGGCACTCCTGCTAAAGCACTTCTGCAGGTGCAGGCTGGATGCTTTCAACACTCATCTTTAACATTAGCTGGAGTGGTTTTTTTCATGGTTTCAATTGCAAAAGCAGCACTGAAACAGATTTTGGAGGTCTCTGTCTTGCTGCCTGCAGTTGTTTTGTGAGGGTGATTAATCAGGCATGTTCCTGTTTCTTGATAGCCACTATACATCACGGATTTACATCCATAGGATGAGGCAACAAGCCTACAAATCCATAGTCCCCATAACCTGTGGGTGCAATGCAGTAATTAAAGGAAAATGTTCTGCAGTTCATTAACAACAACCCAAACACCTCCCAGCTAACTGAAAGCAAACCAAAAGCTGATCTTTGCTGCACAAGTTTTGCTTGTCCTGGGATAACAATTTGTCATCTGCTGAAGATGGCCGTGAACACTGGCCTTTAATTCAGCTTTTAAATTGTTGAAAAAACAAACAGAACCCCCCCAAAGAAAACCTAACCCATCCCTTCCCTCACCCAGAGAAGTGGGGGTAAGGGAGATGAGGCATGGCTGTTCATTCCCAAGCTACGGGTCAGAGCGTGTGCCTGAATTATGTTTTATTTCCCAGTGACAATTAAACAAACAATTTCAAAGCAGACCCAGGTGTCAGCTGCAGCCCTTCCCTGCCCATCTGGTTGGTGCTGCTCCCAGTTTGCCAGCAACTCTGACCAGCCAGGGAGCTGCATTGTTCCCAGGTGCCAGAGGACTGCCCCGGGTTCCTCCTGCAGGCACAAAACCCCCGGGGCTGTTTAAGGCAGGCTCATGCTGGGCAAGGGCTCCCTGCTGGGTCTGAGTCTGGTCTGGGGCTTGTGATGGAACACCAGCAGCAGCAGGGTGTGAGAAGCCTCCTGCAAGCAGGAATTACTGTGTGGATCTGTAAAGTCAAGGTCAAGACTAGAAAATGAGACTCTTCTGGGCTGAACTGCGGGGAGAAGGGAAGCAAGGATGCCTGTTCTGCAGGTAAGGAAGCCTGAGTGCTGCCCTGGGGTCTTCATGTTGGCAACACAGGGAGGAAGAGTGGTTTTTGCCTATGAATGTAATTTACTGGCTGAACTGCCCCTGATGGGTCACACAGGACTGG